GAAGAAGATAATTGATTACAAAGATTAAAACGTGGACGAATTATTTATTTGTAGCCTACCTTGTGCTGCAAACAAACGCTCGGCTAAGTACTTGTTGTATTAGACACTAATAATTTTAAACTATGGGACAATCCCCTGTTGGTCGTTGGAGTGGAACTTAGACGTAATAGGCTACGACTTATTCTGCGGTGGGTAATACTTCCTTGTAAGTTCTTTCACTCCAGCAGTTTGACCCTTATGTTTTCTATATTTGAAGGCGCTTTAGTATAAATTACAGTTTTTTTTTTATTGAGGGACGTTTTAACACGTTTCTAAATAAAATCGTTTTAAACTCATATGTTTTTCATACACAAGATCCGTCGACAACTATAAAGTGCAATGTGAATGTAGAAACAAGTGAGATGATCCAAGGCCACACTAAAAAAACTAAAAAGTTTTTAGTTTGGCCTTGGATGATCTTTGTAACTTTGAATTACTGACTAAGATCAGCTGTTTCGAGTCAGGATCATATTTCAAGCCCAATGATCAAGAACTGCTAGACCCAATTGCTAACCACAACGATAACGTTACTGACTCATTTCAGGATCTAACAGGTGATTTTCCGATTACCAGCAAGCAAGACAACGCCATGATGTTGTACAGTAAGTGTACACTATTTTGCCATTGATATGAACTTTGCCTTCAGAAATCAAATACAAAGAGAGCTTTAAGCTGTCAATTTGATGCGTGGAACGTAGGAGATGAGAAAAGTGTCTATGTTAGTTTATAAAATATACTGTAAAACTCAAGATACTATTCATCAAATACGGTTAGTTCACCTCGGGAAGTATGTAGTCACTTTGCAAAACTGAGACGAAGAGGAAGAATAACCGATTGATGTACTTCTACAATTGATGCAACTACTTAAGTAAATACAAAATCATTTCCGGATTCTCTTCATCATAATCTACAAAATACAGTAACCTAAAAATTCCTGTTAATGTATAGAATTTATTATTTTCGCTAAGCAAAAGAATAAAAAAACCTACATAAAACTAAATAGCCCGTTATCGAGCACACGAGCAGTAAAGGTGTTATCAAGATAATATTCTCTGGATGATGCGTGAAACATGTCTTGGTACTGATATAGCATGCAGACAGCATAACAGTAGGGCCTACACATTTCGGTGACAAACTTGAATTTCCACTTGCTATTGCGTGTTTATAGTTGTGTTGTGTAGTTCAAGAGTTCAACGCAACAATGGTGGAGTATGCAGTTTTGAAACTGGGTCACCAAGATGCAACCATTGCAACCAACCAACAACCACCACGCTAAACTTACCTTGCACACTGTCACTGACTAAGAAGAATACTAGGATTAGAAGGGAAGGGAGAAAGTTGTAGAGTGGGGGAAATAGACAAATTATTTGTTAATGTGTTGACGAACCTTATCTCTAGTTGTTTTGCTCAAGTGGACATCGAGTCGTAACATCGATACCAACATCGACATGGCTATATCGAAATTAATAAACTATCGACCCAAAACATCGATAATTAAGCGATACGTATTACTTTACTTTCTTGTATTGCATTGTAACTGGCAAAATTACTACATAGTACGTTGGCTAATTTCCATCCAATTATGTCAATACTGTTAATTTGAAGCTAAATTAAAAAAGTGAACATATTGAACACATCATAGTGAACATATCAAAGTGAATATTGTTATATATTTCCTTGCATAGTGTTTGGGCTAGCAATAAATTGGTTAGACCTTTTTAATTTAGCAAAAATAAATTATAAAAAAAGTATACCAAATTGGATGGAAATCAGCCTTATCTTCTACTATGTAGGATAATTTAATTTTGCGAGTTACAATACAATTACACGTTGTTATACGTGATATAACAGGGGTGCCCATCCCCCCCTAGACTCATGACGCACCCCCCCCCCCCAATTGAGCAACAGCCCCCCCCATAAATAATGTACACAACAAATGAGAAACATTATTCCCCCGCCCAGCACTATTTGTAAAACTATAAAAGAAGTTTTAAAATTCAAACCCAGGTAATCTATATCAATAAAGTTATAGTTTTGTCTGTACATTGCTCAGAATTATACATATTTTGGGTTATTTATGTTTTATACATTGAAGAAGTTGAAACATGTCTTATCTCAATTTATGTCCGTCTGTCACGGCCCAGAAGGCATTTTATGCAGCCTACTCATGGCCTACTCTTTCCTTCCACCATGGCCTACTCTAAAGAAAACTAGAGTACCGATTATGATTCTAATGGTTTAATTGTATCCACAGGATTGGCGAGAGAGTCCTTATAGCCATTAAAATATGGCCTCACTATTTTGGAAATAAAATAACGGACGATCAAAAACACAATTTTGTGTGATTTTTCTAGTTTATTTTCTCCATGTTTAATACATACGTCATTAATTTATGAAATGCTAATAATCTGTTAAGATAACACGTCATATATGAAATTACGAACAGCTGTTTTGATAAAGATTCCTTTTCCTAGCTGTCACTGATATTTTTACATAAGTTCTTTAAGAATACTGTGTAGGCCCTAACCATTTCCGATCACGTTTGTAAGCAAATCCAAAACCAAGTGAGATTAATAACCATGTGGCTTTGGCTTACATAACGGGTTTGATTTATCACGAGTACTAATATGTAACTGTAAATTAAATTAAATAACTAGCCATCATCCAGGTCGGAAACCGGAGATTCTGTGTGTATCAAGTTGTACTTGAATTTTGATTACAGGGAAAAGACCGTGAATCAGTGTTGTACAGGACTGGAAAACTTATCTTCCTATATAAATAAAATTAGAGTATTATAAGTCACATCAATTAAAGGATTTTTTTTTATTGCTAGAATATCTATATAGCGTTCGTAACCTCTGCTTAACGAATTGTCAGCGTCTTTCTCGATATAACGATCCACTGAGCTAAAATTATAACTGGAGCACTGGAGGTAGCACTGCCATGGCAGAAGTCTGTCAAAAGCGAGTCGCTGATTTTGTTAGGTTGGTATAGCAGTAAGTTTTCTTACCATAGCAATAACATGGCTTCTTATAACTAGGTTGGTATAGCAGTGAGTATTTTTGTCATACTTGAATACTTTTAATACTTTAATAATTTTCTTTGAAATGGCGAACATACAAAGTAGGTATTTTAAGCCAAGTATAATAATAGTTATAGCAATAATATGGCTTCTTATGGACACCCACCTCACGCAAACATGGCGGCTGGCGACACGCATCTTTGACATTCAGTGCTACCTCCAGTTAGAATTATAGCTCAGTGTAACGATCCTATCTCCCTCCCTTTAGAAACATCACAGCTCCTTTGATGAAAATGAAATGGAAACAACGCTTGCGCCAACAATCGTCTGCTCCGTTATACACTTCTGTCTGCTGTGCACTATGTTACAACAGATTTCAGGTCCAACAGCTGGGGAACGATGACGATATAATGCTTAGTACACTGTGATTGAGTGATAACCATGGTAACTTTAGTAAGGCTGTGATTGGCCAATGAGTAGGCCTAAATATGACGACTTGTTGAATTTGTGTATGAATTGAAGAGAAACCTATTAAAGAACAAGAACAAAGAAAGAGAACAACAATATTGTTCTCGTTACATCCTTTTTTAAGAGTGTTTTAATTATCTCTAAATATAATTTACACTTTTTTATTACTTATCTATCAATTCCTATGCTGTGATACAGCACCTATCGGTAGCCTCTGTCTATCATGAGCAGTACCTTATAACACTTTCTAAAGGTTCCTTTAATATTTACGTTATTTATAGCAATGCAATGTTTGCATGCAATGTTTGATTAGTTGAGTTTGAGTTAGCTACAATTTTAAACGTTGCCGTTTGTACAACTGAACAAAGATAAATGATTTGAAATTTACAATAATAATGATTGTGCAATATTGAATTTCGTTTATAAAAATGTAAATCGTGACGTTAATGGCTGTTTACAGTGTTTTAATGAGTTTGTCATCTGTTTTTATACTATATTGGATTAACCGTATTTTTCATTCCCCCCCTCTCACTATTAACTCAGGTAATCGAGTATCTACACAATAGTGTAAAGTATTGTAGCCTATGCTACTTGCTACTTGATTGTATTTTAACGAGCTTTATGTCAACAAAGCGTCCTGCTGTGTTTAGTCGCGGTGTAGCTGGACGTGTCTGTACCACGCGTTATCTTACCTATCACAGCAGTTGAGCCATCCCGTGCGCTCCAGATCTCACGTCTTGCTAATCTTAAATAATAACTTTCTACACGAATCCTAAACTATCCTAAAATCCTATTTTAACTAATTTAATTCAATAATATAACTATTGTCATTAATTAATCGACTTTCTATCTGGCGACTTCGTAATGTATTTTGGATTGTCGTCACATTGAACACTGTTGCAACTAACTTTAGCCCCCCCCCCCCAATTGAATTTTTCAGCCCCCCCCAAGAATTTCAATGACGCAGTCTGCGTCACGGCCCCCCCTTGTGGGCACCCCTGGATATAAAACTATAAAATAACGCATATTTGAAACAAATAAATTACGTCAATATATAATAGCATGTTGTGTAATGGCTGATTAATTGTTTGTTTCCAAAATCCTGTCGTCTGCTGAGCTGTGCATAAACAACTTGTTAATGCTATTAGTCTGTGGTAACAGGTGTAAAATTTAATTGATGTAAACCACTGTCTAATCCAAACCATGGATATCGATGTTAGAGAAACATCGACAGCTGACAATCGATGGCAAAACCATCGATCTCTTGTACCGTCGATGTTTCTTCAGTGAATTGAGATTGAGACACATCGAACATTGATGTCGAATAGTGTAAATAGTCATTAGTCAATGATATCGCCCTTAGTCATAGCTTTCAAATAGTTCCAGTTCCAGATATAACCTAATCCTAGTGTTGTGTCGTGTGGACGTCGGCTCAGTCTAGTCCAGTGGAAGAGTGGAGGTGAAGGGTGGAAGAAGTTGTAATGTTGTGATTCATGAAAATGACAAAGACTCAATGAATTTTTTCTTATGTGATAGTTAATTCATCCAATAAAAATGAGCAGGTAAGGTACTGGCATTGTAGTTATAATGTATATTAACTAAGCGAGCTTTTAAATTTAGAAATATTTATCAATATATGATTGAGTAGTTAAATAAATGGAAGGGTTATTTTGCTATTGACAACCTGCTTTAAATTCCTAGTCAAAGTAGGAAAGGATAAGCACATTAAAATATAATCAGATATTAGAATTTGAAATAATGAAATTGTTAATATCTGTTTTGTGATAAAAAAAGCAGATTGGTATTTGTGAGATTTATAATATTTTATTTGAAAAATTATTATAATGACCCATTTAGGTAATATCTTTTTAATTCTCTCTCAACATGATGTCTGGTTGCAGTCATGCCTCTTAGAAATGTTATTGTAAATTAAGAAGGAAAACACTTGTTGTGCTCAGCGGGGGCAATGAGGGGGGGAGGGTACAAAGACCAAAGCCCCTCCCATTGGACCCTGGAACAATAAATATGTAAACATACATTTTGTCCTAAAAAACGTAACAGAGGTTTTTGTTGCAGTTCTAGATGTTAAAAATTACTTTAGAAAATATCGCTTTTTGAAGTCACCAAATGGCTTTAAAACACAAAATTTTCAGGGGACGACCCCTGAGCCCCCCCCCCTTATTTCTTGGGGGTCGTAGGATACCCCCAGGTAGCTCCCCATTGACAAGGTCCTGGAACCACCACTGGGTGCTAAATGTTCTATGATCTCAAGTCTATTTGATGCCCTTCAGTAATAGATGTGAATTTAAAATACTTAACAAGGCGGTATTATGTTGAAACTCTTGATGTTAGAAATTATTTGTTCATGTGGTCCTAATCCAACCAGAGGGAGTTAAATGTTAAAAATTCAGTAAAGAAGTTGGAAATTTGTGTGGTGTGCAGGTTTGTTGTCATGAGGCTATGTCTGTATGGAAACAAAAGGGGCACTAGTTTAGTTCAACTAAATTCAGGGTGTTCTAAAATGTTTACAATCCTTACAGCAGCATAAAAACTTCAACAGTTTTGTATGATGGTTGACGAAACTGTGACAAAAACTCTGCATTTGTCATAAGGCCTTCATCACTGCCTCCGGATAGTTCTGTCGTGTCCGCCGTACAACCTGTGTCGGTTTGTCCTGTGTATTAATGTGGCCCGGCCTACCGTCTTTTAAATGTATTTAAATTGTGTTTTAATTGTGAACTGTATTTACGTTTTGATGAAGACTTCCGTCGGATTTATTTATGACTAACTCCAATTTTACGTTGACAAGGATTTGATAATGGGTCTTTGACCCGAATATAGTCATCCGTAGACTAATTTAAAGCTGAAGATGGACTAACGTATGTAACTTATTACACATATTCAAAAGTCAGTCTTGGTGGCAAACATCTATATATATAATACGCTAAGCCGATTTTTGTAAACAGAACTCCTCCCTCATTTTTGGACCGATTTTAATGATTAAAGTGTCAAAAAAATTGCCCTGATCTGTAGTTTTGCAAAGTGTTTTTCATTTTTTGAAATCTTTATTAGTTTGGGCAGGACCTTCCATCAAAGTTGGGATTTCTCCCATAAGATTAACATGGGGGAATCTAAATATTTAATTGGAAACTTTTTCTCCACTAATTTGAGAGAACGGCTGGGCGTAGAAACTTGGTAGGGGTGTCAAAAGAAAGGTCTTGGTCTGTAGATGAGATCTCAAAAGAAAAACGAAGTAAATTCCATTAGGGCTCTGCATCAGAAGCCTTTAAAGATCCCTCCACAGATTTGTTTACATTTTGGCCATGTAGATAATACTTTTAGCGAATTTCCCTATAGGGAAGTAGCTATTACCGTAGGTCTCATGGTAAGACCTAGGCCCGAGACCGATTTACTTTTCCATTTTGATGTCCCCAGAGCCCAAAAACACCATTCGTTTAAATTTTTATATATGTATATATATATATATGTGTCCATCCGCACGATAACTTGAGTAATTTTTGTCCGATTTTGATAAAATTTGGTATGAAGGTGTAAGGCGGGATAAACTTGAATGAGTTCGCGAACCAGCATGATCGGACTATGGTAACGGGGGTTTACGGGGGGTTTTATGGGGTAAAAATAGGTTTTTCCCATTTTTGACCCAAAAAACATAAAATTTAGCAATTTCTTTCCAAACCATTTTGTAGAGCTTAAAAAAACAAATAATTTTATCGTATTATTCTAGACAGATCAACATAAGATCATAATATTATTGTCATACATGTTTACTATCATTGGAAAAATCTTCGATTGTGTAATACGATACAAAATAATACAAGTGCAGAAGTGTCTTATTAGCTTTAACAGTAACCCCACAACCAATTTCTCAAACCTATGTTAGAGGGTTATTCATTGACTCAGAAGTACGATATGAACTGACGAGACGTGACGAAGGAAAAATCAAACTTACACCGTAACGGATGGACCTCCCTTTGAAGTTAGAACGTGTCTTCTCAACAAACAGATATTTTTTCTCAAATAAAATATTAGATTAATCTATTACACTGATGAAATCGTGGAAGTTTTTAACTACAAAAGATCCACCAATATGATTTTAATACTATTTAAAGTTCTTCCAAAAGAAGAGATACCAGTTAACATACTAATAATAACTCAGATGAAGTACGGTATGGGAAATATTTTATTCATTGAATGATCAACCATATTTGGTAACTAACGCAATTAATATCATTATTGCTTTTACACGTATTACTCTTTAAACAATGCTAAATGCTCAAAATATGTATAATTTCACTCAATTTATCGCAGTTAAAGATGAATTAGCGTAAGCCTTGAAAGTAACCGTCGATTTCGACGTGTTTCACCTAGTGTTTAAATAATATCTAATGCCAACCTTTTGTTAGAGAGCATCATTAATTGATTGCCCAATTATAAAACATATTGGTCCATAATTGGCCTTATGGGACCAGCAACCTTTAAATTTATAGGTGACCACTGGCATAGTGTCTAGCTATCCAGACGATTACTACTGTAGTTGGAACTATGAAATGGTGAAAAGTGAGTCAGCACATAATGCCTCAGTTTATTGAATGGTTATTAATTGAGGGTAATAATTAAGTGAGATAACTGTTCTGTATCAGGAACAATACTCTTTATCTTCCTACAGTCATGAGTTATCGGAACGTTAAAACCGACAGTTTGAGATCTCTGTAAACTGAAATAGCTCTTTTATTTCAACCATTGACTAACTCAAAAATATAAAAAAACAGAAATCAGAATAATCAACCATTATTTTAGAGATGGATTTTATAAATACAGTAAAATAACGTAAACACCCCTCAGCAGCAAACCTGAAGATTAAGCAAATTTTCATCCTTATTGGATTTTCTCTTCAATATTTTCTTTGATAATGTCACATTTATTCCCTTTTAAACCAAATAACATTAGGATTAACAAGTACTTTACTTAGGTTTGCTGCCAAAGAGAAAGTAATAAGGTGTGATTTTTTGGTGAAATGTTGCTAGATTAGATGAAATTCTATGTTTTGAGGACCAAAATTAGGAATAACGAATATTTTCACCCAATACGGTATTCATTATTAAACCCAGTTCCCAAAGTCCAATCGTGCTGGTTTTCAAACTCCGTAGAATAAAAGTAGATTGAGGCGTTTGTTGTTTGTACCAAATTTTGTCAAATAAGTTAAAGGAGCAAATGGAAACATATATGAATTTGAACGGATGGTGATGTTTTGGCCTCCGGGGACATCAAAACAAAAAAGTATATCAGTCCTGGGTCCAGGTCTTACCATGAGACCTAGGGTATAGGAAATTTGCCAAGAGATGGTCCTAGAACAGCCTCAGTCCAGTGCGGTTTAGGCTCCCTGGAATGAAACATCACAAAACACCAGGAACAGTTGTGGATCGTGGATTCCTATGAACTGAAATAGCTCTTTAAAACTAACCATTGTTAACCAACAATTATTTGCCAGGAAGACCAAATTGTATCCTCTTTAATTCTAAGGTCTTTAATTTGGGGACATTCTCACAACCCTCTATTTCATGTTGGGGCAAGGTCACTTTAAAATGCATCCTTGTAATCATTAGAGTTATAAAATTGTGTTGATTCTTATACTATAACAACTTAAGCCATTCTCAGATAATCTTCTCGTCCTCAGCTGATAACTTGGCCTTTACTTCCTTTACTCCACAGACAAACATTACATAGAGGGAAATGACTAAAAGAATACGGTGTTGATACTAAACTAAAAATGTGAAGATTGATGTTTTAATTTATTTACTCAGCCTTATCAATTGAAAGATAAGTTTTGTTTACCTGATAAGATTATAATAAAGTAGGCTGACTCAGCTAAGATTAGTTTCTTTGTTGTTTGAATGTAAACTTAACCCTTAATGCAGACTACTTCATCTTTGTGATTGACAGTACAACATTTTAAATAATTGTTCTTATAAAATTGTTTATCATGACTAAGGTATGCAAGTTATATTAGTTTCAGCTTCTAGAACCTTGTAGAAATGCTATCTCAATGTCAGAATTATTTTGAGATCATTTATTAGGTCATAGGGTTAGCGTTATTATCCCTTTGGCGAATTTGTATACCTTAAATCCCTTCAGAAGACAGGAACAGGACAAAAACTGGGCCAACACTGCAAGTATATCCCATGTCTTGCTTTACTGAACACACCACTTAAAAGTGAAAATGTGTAATGAATAATTTTATAAAATGATTAATTCGTTTCCTAAGAATTCTGTATTCTAGGTTATCTCATAAGACAAACAATCGTATGTCTGTCCCGTTACTCGGTAGAATTGAACTGTCGGTTCATAATTCAAGACCGCCTATTAACATGGGACAGAAACACAATCTTTTGTCTTATGATGACTTAGAATGCAGAAGGCCAATGTTTTTTCCAAGATAAGAAATAAATTGAATTTTCAAATTATTGATTACATTTACACTTTTAAATGTTGTATTCAGAGATGTGTGACTTATGGGTTTTACCTGCAAGGCCAACCCAGCGTCCTGTTGTCCTATGACAGCTTGTCCTTGCCTCAAGACCCGAGACCATTTATAACAAATACATGACTAAGAGTGTGAATGTGAAAGCATATGCAAAAAAAGTACAGGGCTCTTTAAATCAGAGGTGTTTCAGGCACTTATAGGTTAGACAGAGAACTATTTGGTTCCTTTAAGTTTCGTATCCAACAATTATTTTTGCTTATTGAGAAGTGCCTTAGGAGAGAATTTGTCGACAAAAGTGGTTTTGGTAGTTGTCAACTGTGATTGAAAAAAATATTTGTATGTACAGTTGAACCTCTTTAATCCGAACATCCACTAATCCGAACACCTCATTGCTGTACTCTATACACAGTACAGAAGTTCTATATTGTATACTGTATTTAATGTACGGTACTGTTTATTCACTATGATTACTACAGTAATGTATTATATAAACACTGTATTTTACTTTATAAACTATTTTTTTACTTTTCCCGTAACAATTACGATCCATTTTAACCACCTTTTAGCTAAGCTATTGTTATGTAAAGACAACAATATGTTCTGTAATCCAAACTATTCAATAGTCCAAACTACCCCCGGTCCCAATTAGTTCGGATTAAAGAGCTTCTACTGTACTTGAAACTTTAAGGATTGGTCGCAAAATTGGCCATAATTTCATAGCTGTAGCTACATTACTTAATTATACTTGATCTATACAATATATTGTATTTTTTAGGAACGACGGAAAAGGTGGCCTTCTTACAGCATTCAAAAGAGGGGACATTGAACAAGTTTTGAAACTTTCTGGAGACATCCCAGATTCTGCCAAGGTCAACATCCCACACATAGTTGTACAGTACAAAGTATTCAATGGTAATGCAACTCCACTTACATTGGCAATCCAAAGCGGAAACTACCATCTCTGTCGTCTGCTAGTTGAGGACGGACACTCACTTAATGGAGAATCTGAAAAGTATTTCCGCCTGCATCCACTCAGTTTGGCTTTGCACTTTAAACATTCAGACATTGCAGAACTTCTTATAGAGTTTGGAGCAAATGTCAACTTGCTTAACAAGGACAAAAACACTTATCCTCTCTTTTGGGTGATTCATACGAAGCTACCTCCTCATATGATCGATGTAATCATAGCTGCAGGGTTTCCTGTGAATGCTCTAGTCATGAAGAAGGAAAGAATGACTGCAATACAATGTGCAGTATTAGAGAACAACCTTGAAGCTATTAAAACTTTGATCAAGTATCCATTGGATTTCAACCATTCAAACGCTTCTCGTGAAACCGCACTGGGTATTGCTATCAGAAGTAACTTCGTCGAGATTGTCAAGCTCCTGGTGGACAAGGGTGCGAGTCTGAACAGTAGGAATTCTGCGCTTTGTCCATTGTTCCTCGCAATCAGGTTTGAACACATCAAGATGGTGGAGCTTCTGCTTGATTTAGGAGCGAATTTGCAAGAAGGATGGGTCGAAGAAGAAATTGTTCCACCCTTACAATTTGCTATAAACTATTTAAACGTCGATATAGTAATGCTCCTAATAGCAAGAGGTGCAAACGTCAACGATAGAAATTGTCGCTCCGGGGAGACAGCCTTGCATGTCACTGCATCTTACATCGGACTCAAATACCAAGGGGAGACATTAAAAGCTGTACAATTGAAAATCGCAAAAGCATTAATAGGCAGAGGAGCTGATGTCAATGTCAAGGACATCATAGGTAGAACTCCTTTGGACGGTGCCATATGCGGGGAAAATACTGAACTCTGTAAACTACTGTTACGGGAGGGAGCAGAAGTACATGGAGATGGATGGATCAATGTCACCGGGAGTGGCAACAGATTTGAGTACATCTGCTGTGTTAAAGCATTCCAGTGTGCTGAGTTGATAAGTATGTGTTTAGATCGAGGAGGAGACTACAACTACAGAGATCACCACGGACTATCTCCGTATCACTGTGCCATGGCCAAACACAATCCTGACATGGTGAGGGCGTTCTGGCGACACGGATGTCCATACGACCTACCGGAGCTGAAACCAGGCAAGATGAAAGAGATGCTATGGTACAACCCCGACCCGAGAGATAAAAAACTCCTCTCAGTCCAGGCTGACTTCATGGATGGAATAAAAAACAATAGATTAGATTCCGTAGTAAACGCTATTCAGATGGGTGCAGAGCCTAAAGGCAGCAGTGTAAAAATACCATCTACTTTACATTATGTCGCAGCCAGTGGTAGTCATAGCATTGCTAAAACTCTTTTAGAACACGGGTTGGCGGTGAACAAAATCAACGTAATAGGACAAACACCTCTTTATGTAGCCGTTGAAAAGAAAAACTTGCAAATGTGTAAGGTGCTTTTACAAAACGGAGCTTGTTTCGATTACCGATGTAAAAAACTGCCCAAAAATCGAACAGTAAAAATCCTTGTAAAAGAGAGTGATCAACTTAGTCAGTTGTTTAGTCTGATTTATAAATGTTTCAAGCTAGCCAAGAAGGGAGATTTTAAAGTGTTAAAAGTACTTAACAAGTTAAAGAAGTCGGATGAGCAGGAAATGTTGCAAGTTTTGATGAACTGTGAGAACCAGAGAGGATTTACTCTACTGAATGTAACATTGGCACTGGGACATGTAGCCTTGGCTGGTGAGCTGATGCAGTTTCGATTGAACAACAAAGCACACAAACCCTCAGAGGTGTAGTTAAGAAACAAACATTGCAATAATATATTTGTGGTCACTGTGCAATATGCAAAACGCAGATGTATAGTCTCTAGCAATTTGTTATTGAAACATAATTGAACTATAAACACTTACTAAACAGAATTATGCAATATAGGCCTATAGAAATATTTTATGTAATGACTAATTCAATGTATGAATGGATTGTAAAGTTGAATATTCTTATGAAATTACAAGACAAATGCAATTTCACTGTAAGCTTAACGTGGCCCATTATAGCACAGGTAAACATTAGTGATATATCTGGTGGGAGAAGAAGCCTATGTTAATTTGTTTTAATGCTCTAATTTTGTAATGAAATACCAAATTAAATTACATGTTTTAGGATAATCTTTCTGTTATGTTTTGTGAAGTTTGTGTATCCATCTATTAGTTTCTGGGACTCTGACTAATTTTCTCTGCAGGCTAACTGAACTATATCCCATTTTTAAATAAGTTTTACATTAGTATAATACTCTTTTAATCTGCAGATTAGAAATAAAAAAAGGTCAATCAATAAAAAATAATGTAAGCAATCTTTAACTGTAAACACTACATGGTAAATATATACCTAACTGATTTATCAAATTTATTTATCTCTTACTTTTGCCCTTGACTTATAACACCCTGTATTTACACCACTAATAAGTCCAAAAAAGACAAGGGTCAGTTGATCTTTTCTTTTAGCGAATTTCTCATATAGGGAATAAGCTACAGTATTACCGTAGGTCTCATGGTAAGACCTGGACCCGGGACCGATTTCCTTTTTTGTTTTAAGGTCCCCAGAGGCCAAAAACACCATCCGTTCAAATTCATATATATTTATATGTTTATATATATATGTCTGTTAGCACGATAACTTGAACAAAAATTATCCGCCTACATTTATTTGAACGAGTTCGCGAACCAGCATGATCGGACCATGGGAACGGGGGTTTATAGGGGGTTTTATGGGGTAAAAATGGGGTTTTCCCTTTTTTGACCCTAAACTGATAAAATTTTTGAATTTCTTCCCCAACCATTTTGTAGAGCTTGAAAAAAGAAATAATTTAGTATATTGAAGCATTGTTGTATGCCTAAGGGTTACAAAGAAAATTCAAAAAAAGGCAAATTTAAAATTCCCATGTTATTCTTATGGAGAAAATGAAAACTGTTGTAGTTGACTTGTTAATGGATATATTTTGATCAAATTTGGCAAATTTATTTATTTCATCCTATACTATTGACGTTCGGTCAAAAAACACTGTTTACCTTCCCCGTAGCAGCAAACCTAAGCACTCGTTAAATCTAATGTTATTTAAATTGGGAATAAATATGTCTTATTTATGGAAATATTTTAGTAAAAATCAAAAATGTAATCAGACAAGTTGAAGTTCGCTTAGTCTGCAGGTTTGCTGCGGCGGGGGTATTTTAACAATAAAACCTGGTTAAAAAAAGTGTACCTCAGCATTAATATTAATAATAATTTAAACTGTGTCGACTAATGTAATAATTATAATTCATTTTTAAGGATGTCACGGATTGTCTGACAAGGTACGTTTTTACCATAATTAGTAATGTAATAAGCTAAAATATTCTCCGCAAATGTTCTTTATATTTTTCTCAAAATTTAGTAAAAGTTTTACTCTAGGGCAACATTACGTTACTTGACTCAATTGCATAGAGCACCCATGATTTCTCTATATTTTAACTAAGTGCAAGATTACTTTAATAATGATGGGCTTACCTGTAAAATTCACAAGACTTAAGATAAGTAATCTATAAAAATTAAGGGAAGGGGCAGGGGGGCTCAACAGAAATAGTTTTATGATCCAGAGGATCTTAGACATTTGACATAGAAACATTCAAATTGATTAAGTTAAGTAAAATGTTTGAAAAAGGGAAAAAAGTCAAATTTTGAATGGAATAACTTGATTGAGAATGCAATCAGTTATGTTTTTTTATTGAGTACCTATATGTTTGGGGTTTACTAATATATCTTATGTTTTTTTTATGTTATATTTTTTATAGCAAGATTTTTTGGATTTGGTTGGGCTATGAAAACAGTATTAAAACAGTGGTAACATCTAAAAAAAATAAGATAAGGAATAAGGTATGCATTGAAACAGAGGATATTTTTTATAAAAAGTATTATTTTGTAGATAAATTAACAAGACTAAAATTGTATACTAAACTTGTCTGAGGCGCCTTATTGAGTTAATTAAATAGTAACATTAAATTTAAAATTGAATCATAACTAGCAAACCCTCTCTCAACTTTTTTAAAAGTATTCACTATTATAAGTATGTAAAGTACAAGATGGTCATCAAGAATTAGTTAATCAGTTTTGTACAGTACCGGTACTAAATAGTAATAGTATTAATTTACATTTTGGCTGAAATCAATATGATTTAGAGAACCGAGCACAGGCTCTAATACTGGATCCAAAGTAGTAGACTTCACATTTCTGAAATCATCTTTAACATGTATAGTTCGGCTCATAATTATTGACATAAATATACACAAATGTGTATTTACAAAATTGCATAGTGAGTTTCTGGTGTATTGAAGTAGTCTGATTCCTAGCCCTATGTGCAATTCTTTGTGTTTTTATTTTTAATCCGGACATTCTACCCATTAAGGCCAGGCATACTGACTCGTGTAATGTTAAAATTACTTAGAAAATTACAAAACAAACATGATTTAACACCGTCAAGTTTAAATAATCCATGATAAAGCAACTAAAAGCTACACATACTTTGGCTTCAAAGTTAATTTTAGGGATGGACGGGTCCCGATTATCGGGACGGGATTACATTTGACTCGGGAATTTTTCGGGACGGGATTTGGTCCGATCGTCGGCGATTTTTCCGCTTCGCGAGTGCCGATAACGCCGTTATTGCGAGCGATAGGTCCGCGAACGCAGGAGACGAAGTCATTTCGACGATTACGCCGTGACCGCGGAGTCCTACCGACGACCGCGCCGTGACCGCGAGTCATACCGACATCGGGCCGTGACCGCGGAGTCCTACCGACGATCGCGCCGTGACCGCGAGTCATACCGACGATCGCTCCGTGACCACGGAGTCCTACCGACGATCGCGCCGTGACCGCGGAGTCCTACCGACGATCGCGCCGTGACCGCGAGTCATACCGACGATCGCGTTTTGACCGCGAGTCATGACGACGATCGCGCCGTGACCGTGGAGTCATACCGACGATAACCCCGTGACAGCGAGTCATGCTGACGATCGCGCCGTGACCGCGAGTCATACCGACGATCGCGTCGTGACCGCGAGTCATGACGATGATCGCGCCGTGACCGTGGAGTCATACCGACGATAACCCCGTGACCGCGGAGTCATACCGACGATCGCGCCGTGACCGCAAGTCATACCGACGATCGTGCCGTGACCGCGAGTCGTGACGACGATCGCGCCGTGACCGTGGAGTCATACCGACGATAACCCCGTGACCGCGAAGTCATACTGACAATCGCGCCGTGACCGCGAGTCATGACGACGATCGCGCCATGACCGTGAGTCATACAGACAATCACCTCGTGACCCGCGAGTCACAAGTTTCTATAGGTACCTGTAAATTGTTACCCATTTTTTGGTTTTTATAGATCAGTGCCACAATGGTAAAAATTGATTTCGTATGTCTTTTTTGGTAACTGCAATACAGTACTTTCTTTTTATGCACAGAAAAAAATCCCGTCCCGTCCCGTCCCGAAAATCGGGAAGGAAATAAAAATCCCGTCCCGTCCCGTCCCGAACTAAAAATTCAATCCCGTCCATCCCTAGTTAATTTTAAACAAACTTAACTCTAACAAACGATACATTGAACATATTAGTCTTATTAAAGCACAAGTATCACACTTACCCTGTTATCACTTATAGTGATTCATTTACCTGTTAAAAATAACACCACTGATAAAACTAACATCAATGTCTTGGCAAGCTCTCTCGTCATCAAAAGACGGCTCACACTGGCTGAACCGAAAGCAAACAGTCTTTGTGAACGCAATATTCGATAAATCGCTCAACGGATACTGTCCCGCAGATAACTCAAATGTTACGATGTAAACGTGCCTCGGCATAAACCACACCGGCTGGGACAGCCTCACTTCTTGTGTGACGTTGAAGAAAGCTGTCGTTCCGCTCCACTCGGTCCGATTGATCACATTCCCTTCTTCGTCACAAACAGTTACGACTAGATCTTCCGGATAATGACTGACTGATCCTCGGCCCATAATGTAGTCAGCCGTAGTTGCTATACGAGTGAACACCTCAAAGCCAGTAACCATCACTTTGGTGTCCGAGCTCACTTTGCATTTGATTGTCCCCGAGTACATGTACCTCTTACGCTTTGTCAAGATGTGTCGCAAACAGCGACAAGAGACTGACATGAAGCGCTTCCGCATCTCTCGAGTTGTGTTGAACCCAACAGGCAAACTGATGTTGTCAAGGCTGTTGTTGTTGATGCATGTTTTAATCGACCTGATCTCCTCTTCACTCAACAGTCCAGATGGTTCCACAACGTCGGATAGCTCCGTGAGAGACAGGGTGAGGAAACGAACCTGCAAGTATAAAGAGTAACTCAAGATGTATGAAAGATAACACATTGACCAGTTATATTAACACATTTACCAGGTGTCTGGAGACTCTACATAAAGAGTGTGTGGACAGGAACTTCTCTTAAAGGTGACCACGGTCATTCAGTGTTGTACCACCAATGTATATCGATCAAAAGTTTCGTCTGGTGTATATGTGGAAGTTAGTGAGTGTAGAATATCAGGGAGGCATATGTCTCATTAATTAATATCCAAGATTTATCATTCATTCTGTAAATTTAATAATACATTATGTATCCGTTATTTGAAATAACAAATTACATTAATTTATTAAAGTGTCACGATTCATCCACGATATCTGTGAACTTGTTTTGATTATGTGTGTGAAAGCAGAACCTTTTGAACATACTAATCATCTTTGTGAAACATGACTCGTGACAAACTTTTAACCATCGTAATTAAATATTGTTTTATATCATACTCGTCTATTACTCGGAATTGATTGGTCATCTAATAAATAAATCTATTGATAACTCGATGTGGTTCATATTTTTAGCACCTGAGATCTTAAATGTCACCAGGTAAAATTTTGTATAACTATAGGGTTGAATCTTCTCTGTGAGTTCATCCGAGGCATCTGTAGTTTATTTTGTAATATAGGAATAGTTATTAACTAATACTTAATGCCCCAAATTTCCCCGTTACAACTGGAATCTCTACATGAGAGCAACGGCTGGTAGTGCTCCTGTTAAGGACAATTTTTGGAAAAAATCAGCAAGTTGGTGTGAGAAAATACGTCCAGGGGGATATTGATACACAAAAAGACGACACAACGTGGCACTGATATTTTCCCCTAGAGTAGGACTTTTAAGTGAGAGAAAATTAACAAGAAATCTCACCATCAATATTGCTAGTTGTAGTACCAATTTCCATGAGCAACTATAAACATAAAGACGTTATTTCATGCATTTACACCAATAGCTCAGTTAGGAAGATGTGTATCTTTTAAACCAAAGCTAGATGAAAGGAAAGTTTGGAATTGTTGCCTAAAATTAAGGTAAGGAGGATGTCAGGAGTCGGTAGTATACTTGTAGAGGGTGGTTCTTAATGCAAACGTTCATTGATGATGAAGATAATGAATACAAAAGAATTACATCTAAGATTTAATTGACCCATTTTGCAAATTTGCTGATCGTGATTTTTTTTATGTGGAAAAAATGTATAGGCATATGTTGAAGACGTGTCTTTAAATATCTTATTGTGTTATTGGACGTAATTTTTCTGTAACAAAAAGTTTAATTTGTTTACTTTACCAAAGGACAAAAACTATTCTATTTAAATTGAAAATCAAAGACAGTTGTTACTAAGATATAATACATTGGACATTATTTGCTCACTTTGCTAAGAAGTCCTGCTTGGTTGACAACCGTTCGTTTGTTTGCGGCGGACGGCGAGATTTCTCTTATAGAGCACTGAGCTGACGCCCAGTCTGCAATCAGCTGATACAACTCCGCCTCCAGTAGGTTGATACTGGGCTGGTCTAGCAGACGACTCAATGTCACCAGACCAATGTTCTCATCAGGGTTGACCCACATATCACCAGGGTACTGGCACATCACCTGTTAAACGATTATATCAGCTGTTAAGTCTGGATATTCAGCTGATTTACACAAAAATGAACCTTCTGTCCTTCAACATTATTGCAACCATTTGGATGTGGTGAAAAGCTATAAATATATCTTTGATTACCTAATTCAATTTGGTCAGTTACATTAGAGATCGAAAAAAAACCCCAATAAACTGGCTGTAGTTTCATGGCCGTCTGTAACATACAAGCCTATTTGGGTTACCAAGAGTCCAATCCTCAGGAATCAAGAGTGAAATAAATTACTTATCATTGAAAATACCCCCGCCGCAGCAAACCTACCGTCAAACGAATTTGTATGGCTGAATTGATTTTCAATAATTGATCTACTTAAATAACATTAGGTTTAACGAGCACCTAGGTTTGCTGCTACAATGAAACTAATAAAGTGTGTTTTTAAGTAAAATAATTATAGCTTAGTATAAAATCAATACATTTGCCAAGTTTGATCAATCAACTTTATTTGTAATACTAAGAGAAAGATTACATTATTACATAAAAAATAATGGACTTGATTTTTATTTGTATCAACTATACAAGTATCAGGTATTTTTCTGATTAATTTGGTTACATATCCTCAATGTATGGCGTATTTAAAAGAAAATTATTAAAAAAATAAATTCACCTTGAGGCAAGAAGAGAGTAGTTCCTCTTCGTGCAATTCTTCTGCAATCGCCAAAATGTCCCATAAATTATTGATGAACAGGTGATCCAGTAGGTAGTCTAGGCACACTCTAGCTAAGTGTGGAATCATGTACTTCTTAGCTGCATACAACAGTTGTCCTGCAGTGTCTATACAGTCTAACTCTGTACTGTCACAGTAGATGTATCTAAAACACAGGTAAGATACCATGTTGACATCAGAAATCTTATTGAACTGGGGTAAATGTCGGTAAATATGTATAGTTTACAATGCTTCATTACAGTGATGAGTGAACGTCAATAATCAGAATTGATTGGGACCGGACCCCATCCGGGTTGTCAAATTATCCGGAATTATCTTAAAAAAGGAAGAGCCAGCACACACTATTTGAGTACAAAACTTTTAAAAATTATATATATTTTTACTATAGGTACAGTAAAGGGTCTAACATTTTTTTATGTTAAAGCACTTTGTCTTATTTAATTTTGAACATGTGTTCAGTGCATGGTAAATTCACATGACATTACAAACTTGAGCTTTAAAAAAATGTTTGTCAGGCTTTTGAACTGTGGTAACTTTAGTGGTTATTTTTTGCAGAAGACAGTACAAAATTGTATTTTTTCTAAAGACAAATCTGGATTATTGACGTTCTAGATTTTTTATATACAAATTATCGACGTTCTACTGTATGTGTATCACCTTCGTTCCTACCAAATTTGGAACCGAGTTTTGAAATGGTTACTCTAAAGCCCGCTCCAGACATGCGCCATTCGCAAAGCACAAAATACATTACGTTCGGCAATCTAGTTGTCTTGCTATTCGCCGAGTAACGAGTAGATGTCTACACACATGTGTTGTTTTCCGAGCAACTGTTCATTTGGGGAATAGCAAAAATATTTGTTCACTTTGATGTGTGCAAAAATAACGAGAATGAATGGGAAAACACGACCACGAATGTTTGCTGCTTGCCAAATAGACAAACACCTATTCACACTACTTGCAATTTGGCGAGTCGCTGTTCGGTGCTAGGTGAAAAAGTAACACAAAAGTTTTAAAAAACAAGAATACAGTAACAGAATAACATAACAATCCATATTGTAGCCCTTGAACTGACTAGTTTTGTTGCAACTGCAACATTGTCTACGCAGGCAACACATCAAAAGATTAGAATAAGTACAACATAACACGTAGTTAACAAGAAAAGCGCTGACATAGTGGTAACTGATCAGATCCGGTTACGGCAGTAGACTAAACACGGAAACAAGTCAGTAACATTAGAACCATAGATGGTGTTAAGATGCCTATTTTGTCAACTGAATAACAAACATAGATGATACAATAAACCATTTACAATTCAAGTTTTTTTTACTTACTTCAAAAGAAGACGGAAAGTTTGCGGCTCAAGATCAGGTACGTTGATGATTTCACTCTTTTCTGCCAATGTGCCATAAAACAATGCTTCAAACACAGGAGAACTAGCAGCCAGCACCAACTTGTGAGCTCTCAGAATCTGAAACATCAACTGAGCTGCTAAATGTGTTTTGTTATGGTTAGTAAACTCGTGTTTTTAAATAATTTATTGAATAATAATTGCGACCTCGATAAAACAAATCGCAACCCTATTCTAATACAAAGAAATTAAAGGAGCATATAACAATAATAATATTTAACTTCTAGCATTAGATAACTTATTATTTAAAAAATATAGGCTAACTTAATACTTTTTGGTTAGTTTATGTCAGCTCTTTCAGTTAGGCTAGATACAAAACCAAAAAGAGAAAAGTGAGTGTGGAGAAAAGAGGAAGATGGTACTACGTATAAATCAAATGAATATACATTGGATACACAATTAGCCTATTTGATGAAGCTAATATTTTTTGTATTACCTCTGTTTGTTCATCTCCTGCTCTGAAGGCACAGTCTGACCAATGACTCTGAAGATGGAGCTCCTTAAATCGAGATATTAGACTGGTCTTATGAATCTGCCAATCTAGTTGGGGACGTTCCATCTACAATGATAAAAATATTTTTCATGGCTTCAATTCTTTAGTTATGCTTATCCAATTACATATTCAAGCCTAATACCTTTTAGAGAATTTCCCATAAGTTATAGCCTTGGGAATATCCTATTACTGTAGGTCTCATGGTAAGACCTGGACACGAGACCGATTTACTTTTTTTGTTTTGATGTTCCCAGAGGTTTTTTTCACCTTAACACCAGCCTCCTATATGATGCTAAGTAAGTTACTGTTGTCACCATGCAAATGCATTTATCTTATCACAGCAATGCCAATATCACAATACTTCATCTACAAGGTGGTGGAATGAATACATGTAACAGTCTGATATATAGTAAAAGATCAAATGTCTGATATAGGCCTAAGCAAGTTTGTCGTAGGGGCCTGTGCGCATGGCGGTCGCTGACTTGTATGTATGTGTGAGTGAGTGTGTGGGTGTAAGTATTTTTAAAATTTACTGATTTTTGATAAAAGTTTCTGTATCTATGATTTCTGTTTTGTTTTATTGTATAAGCTGATTATGTTAAAATATTTATATTATGTTTTAAAGTACAGGTTAAGTGTAAGAAAGGGCCATGTGGCCCTAACTTTGCCTGTATAAATAAATGATTTTCATTTCATTTCATTTCATTTCAAAGCATTGAGTTAAAGTGGGATACAATTTTACATTTAAGGTAGACACTTTCTGGCAGGGCGTAAAATAACTCATTGCTGAAATTTTGTCGCCCAGTGGCTATGGGTGGTGCCGGCATTTTTTTTTATGATTCACATTTTCAATGTATTGGAATTTAAAAAGTATTTAAAAATTTGTGAAAATATTTTAGAGTATTCTCAGCTTCCGTTAAGTAAACAAGTGATCAACAATTGAACTGCCATTTCTAACTTTGAGTATTTCCTGACAATTGTATGTTGTGTGCAATAAAACATTTATAAAAACTACAAAAGAATTGTTTTATTTTACAATCTCACAAGTGAAGGTATAAGTCTTGGTACTGCTGCTTTCTGGGTGCGTAATACAGCTCAAGTGCAAGTGCGGGGTCATGGAAAGGGCCGTGGATTTGTTTGGGTTCGGTGCAAGGACGTCACCTATTACAGTGTCTACCTCACCCCTAACGAGGCTATCCATGACTTCCGCGAGAAGATAGACCGCTTGGAAGAGAGCGTGCAGGACACCACAGGGCATGTGGTCATGGCTGGTGATTTCAATGCTAGGGCCGTCGAGTGGGGACTGACCCTCACTAATTCCCATGGGAAGTACATCCTGGACTTTGCTGCCAGGGCCGGACTCGTTGTAATCAACGAGGGCAACACGCCAACGTTCCGGCGACCCGGGATGAGGGGAACGATCCCAGACATAACCCTCGCATCTGAGTCTCTTCTGCCAAGGATCACAGCCTGGAGAGTCTTGGAGGATTATACGGCCAGCGACCATCAATACATTATTTTCAATGTCTTAGATCGCCTCCCGAGACAAGTTGCTGCATCTCCCCGTTTGGTGGAACACCAAAAAACTGGACGTGGCTAAATTCACCGAGGCCATCCTGCGGGGAGTGCCAGCGGTGCCTGCCGCACCTGGCATGGCTCATGCAGAGGCTATAGTTACATCGATGATGGGGCTGATTGCCTCGGCTTGTGATGAGTCAATGCCCCGCAAGAGACTCCGTTGCGATAGGAGACCCGTATACTGGTAGACTGCAGAGATCGCGGATTTGCGCCGAGCTGCTTTGAGAGCTAGACGACTCGCTACCAGGGCCAGGGCACCCTTGGATAGACGCCGTAAGCTGGAGAGCTACAAGGTGGCGAGGAAGTCTCTCCGCCGGGCCATCAACCGGAGCAAACACAATTGCTGGAAAACACTAAGGGATGATGTCGATTCCGACCCGTGGGGCCTGGGTTACAAACTAGTAACCCAAAAACTCACCACTCGCTCTCCACCTTCCGTCATGGAGGGGGCCGCTATGGAGAGGGTCGTCAAATCCCTTTTTCCGGAACATATTCTGCGCCCACTGCGTGAGTTTGAGATGATGGACGATGTCCCACTCTTCACTCATGAGGAGCTGGAGACTGCCGTTTCATCCCTAAAAAACAACAAGGCTCCTGGACCTGATGGGGTACCTGGCGAGGCTCTTAAGAAGGTTTTTTCAATCAATCCCCTGATTCTTCTGAGCATGTACAACGCCTGCCTGGCAGAGGGGGTATTTCCGTTATGCTGGAAAAAAGCTAGGCTCGTGCTCGTAGGGAAGGGGAAAGGAGACCCAGAATTGCCGTCCTCTTACAGACCCCTTTGCATGTTGGATACGGCTGGGAAAGTCCTAGAGAAGTTGATCCGTTCCCGACTGAATTCAGCCGTGGTTGCTGCGGGGGACCTGAGCCCTCGCCAATACGGCTTCAGGAAGAGGCGATCAACGGTTGACGCTATTGAGGAGGTGAAGCAAGCCGTGATGAGAGCTGAGGATTTTAATCACTACTCTCGTAGGGTTGTGCTGCTCGTTACACTCGATGTGCGAAATGCATTTAATTCTGCAAGATGGTGCGATATGCTGGACGCTCTGGAGAACAACTTCCACGTCCCGGCATACCTCATGCGCATTATAGAGGATTACCTCCGGTTCCGCCTCCTCATGTATGATACTACAGAAGGCCCGCGGACGATGAGTGTCACTTCTGGTGCTGCCCAAGGTTCCATACTCGGCCCGGACCTCTGGAACGTTGCCTACGACAGCCTCCTTAGGTCTGAAATGCCTGAAGAAACCGTTTTAGTTGGGTACGCAGATGACATTGCAGCTTTAATAGCTGCTCGTAGTGTTGAGCTGGCCCAGCTAAAATTAAACCGAGTCATGCGAACTATAAACGCATGGATGGCAGATCACGGTCTCTCACTCGCGCTGAACAAAACCGAGATCGTGGTTCTGACCAAAAAGCGGATTGACACCATTGTGCCGTTGAGGGTGGGGGACGTCGAAGTCCAGTCCGTTCGTGCCGCCAAGTATCTTGGTGTCATGGTGGACTCTAAGCTTAGCTGGCGGGACCAGATATTCCGAACGGCGGACAAGGCTGCTAAGGTGATCTCTTCTCTTAGCCGGTTAATGGCCAATGTCGGAGGTCCTCGTTCCAGTCGCAGAAGGCTGTTGATGTCTACAGTTCAGTTTGTGCTCCTGTATGGTGCGGAGGTGTGGGCAGACGCGCTCAATAAGGAGGTGTATAGGATGCGGCTTTCCAGAGTGCAGCGTCAGGCAGCACTCAGGGTAGCATCCGCCTACCGAACAGTGTCTGAACCTGCCATCTTGGTGGTTGCTGGAGTAATCCCCATCAAACTTTTGGCGGCGGAGAGGAAAGCGATTTATCAGCGGCGTGGAGAGGACCACACAAAAATGGAGGAGCGCAACCGCACCTACCAGCTCTGGCAGGAGAGCTGGGAACAGGAGTCGCGGGGACGCTGGACCAGGAGACTGATTCAGCAAGTCCAACCATGGGTTGACCGACGGTATGGTGAGGTGGACTATTACCTGACCCAGTTTCTGACAGGTCACGGGTTTTTTCGGTCGTACCTGTTCAGGATGGGCAAAGCCGTGTCACCCGATTGCATCTACTGCCCAGGCACTCCCGACGACGCGGAGCACACCTTCTTCCGCTGCCAGCGTTGGGAAGGTTCCCGCCTGGAGGCTGAACAACATGTAGGGCAGTTGTTGGTAGACACGGTCATTCCGATGATGACGGAGGGTGAGGACAATTGGACCTGTATGTCACATTTCGTCCAGGATATTCTCCGCACAAAGAAGCTAGAGCTTGACCTAGATGCAGTCTAGGTCATAAAGATATTGAATGCCAGAAACGGCGCGAGCCCTGAGGGCTTAGGTCACACGTTGACCTGACCTGAAGTAATGTGACAAACAATCCCAGGTCTGTGTCCAACATAGTAGAGGGGGTTTTTTAGTGAGTAGTCTGACAAGCTCAGGAGTCTCACACTACAGGCTGGCTACCTGTGTGCGTAAAAGCATTTTTACCTCCTCTCCCTTAAAAGAAAAAAAAAAAAGTGAAGGTATAACATTTATGTACAATGCTCTTTGAAATGTAAATGTTACATTTAAACTAGCACTTTACGTTTAAAGTCGTTTCCAGCACCATGATCCAATCTTAAACTGAGCACTTTTCTTAACTAACGTAGCTTAAAATTGTAATTGTTTTTCTTTCCCATTTATGTACAGAATTCTAGAGCGAACAATGCAATTTTGGAAACAATAGTTAAAAGATTTCTGCTTTTTATTTTATGACAGGGCCTACATAAATCTGTAATTATCTGTACCGGTAACAATAATAATTAAGGTTATGATTTTTTTATTTAAACATGTTTGTGTTCACAAATTGTTTGAGGTTTGAAGTAGTCCACTTTTGAAATTGACAATGATTTTGGCCCAAGAGGTCGTGAAGGGAGCCTTTTGGCCTGTTACAACGTTCTAGAATACATATTTAAGTGAGATTACCTATAAGGACTATTTATAAGCAAATATAATCGGAAAATTAATTAAAAAGATACATAGAAAGGTGTGATTTTCACTTTAATTTAGCCTGTGCAAAACTTTTCTGGGGGTTACCCAGATCCCCCTGTATAAGTCCGGCGCCACTGTCATCCAGTGGAAATCCCTTAAAATATGCTTTCTGGTAAATTTTTATGTGATTAATTTTACTGTTAACTTAGTGGGTCATATAGCTAATTACCTTATAACTTGTAACTTAACTAGTAAAAAAAAAAATATTCGTTACTAATAAAACCATGAAAATAATTTAAGAAAAACACAATTTTAGAAGAGGATAAAGTTAGCAGAGTTAAAATGATTATTACAATTAGGCTAGTTAATTTTTTCATACTAAGTTAGGTTAATTAATTTGTTTACACCAAGTTCTAGGCTAATAGATTTTAGTGATAACTTAAGTTACCGCAGGCTATTTACAATTATATGTTTGTAATTGTTAGGTGTGGGTACTCCTAACGATATAACTTACACAACTCATGGTTCGCTGGCTCAGTGTTGGCCGTGCCGTCTAGCTTCCCCCACTCCCTAATGGCAGAAGCCTATACACTCACCATTATGAAATTCACATTTTTAGTTGCTACTCTGTTGAAATATATAGCCTGGAGATAAAAAGCTAACGCATGTCAAACTCTTTTTAACACGTTGAGTGCGGGCATCATCAATAGATGATGTCCGACACTAGCACTGGTGGCGGACATCAGCTAAAGCTGACGTCATGCCACTCTCTCCACGTTAGTTTAGTGTGAGCTCAGCCATTGCCGGGGAACGTTATAATCGTTGCCAGCCTGTAGCTTAGATTATGTAGCTTTAGTCTGGTGTAGGTTGGTACTAAAATTTCCCGTAAAATCCCGTCTAGCAATACTTTTGTCCCGGTTCCGGCAATTTTCTCTTTTCGAGCCACTTTACAAAGACACTGGCTACGAATCCAGGCAGTGCTGCTACCTTTGGGTGTTTCAGTGAACTACGTCCACTCTCGGGCTAACACAGCACAATCACCGCTGCTCTTTTTTTATTCGTCAGACTGAAATATTTTAATGCCAATTGCGTTCACCAATTCAGTTGCGCTGCGGGGCTTCGCCCGGGCCTCGCCGCCATTATTGAGCGCCTGTTTGAAGGTATTCCGCACTGAACGTGTTAACTTAGGCCTACTACAGTATTGAAAACTTTATGTTTTTGTTTTGTTTTGTTTCTCTTGCAGGAAATAAGCTAAATTAACCTATTTGAACTCTTTAAAACTGCACATTCACTAAACTCGGTTTTAGATGTTTTTAGACAAATGATGATATTGCTAGTTTCAAAGTAATGTCAAATAAAGGATAGCAAATACAAATAGGCCTACATATCGTAAACGCGATAGGCCTACCTTTTAGCAAATTTCCCATATAGGGAATAAGCTATTACCGTAGTACTCATGGTAAGACCTGGACCTGGTCCCTAGAGGCCAAAAACACCATCTGTTCAAATTCATATAGGCCTACATATATATACGGTATGTGTCCGTTAGCACGATAACTCAAGCAAAAATGATCCGATTTTGATTAAATTTGGTACAAACGTGTAAACCTACATTTACTCAAACGAGTTCGTGAACCAGCATGATCGGACTATGGGAACGGGGGTTTATGGGGGGTGTTATGGGGTAAAAATAGGTTTTTCCCACTTTTGACCCTAAAACACAAAATTTGACAATTTCTTTCCAAACCATTTTGTAGAGCTTAAAAAACAAATTATTTAATTCATGATTAAATTGATTAGAATTCAAAAAAATTGTAAATTTAAAATTCTCATGTTATTCTTATGGAGAATAAGTCGACTTGTAGTTTGCTTGTTTATGAACATATTTTGATCGAATTTGGAAAATAAATTCATTTCTTACTAAACTATAAACATTTTACAAAAAACAAAAAAAAAACACCTTCATACCCTCCCTGTTGCAGCAAACATACTCGTTAAACTTATTCTATTTAAAAATACCTAGGGAATAAATGTTATATTTTTAGGGACGCATTTTAGTGGTTTTAAATCCAATCAGGCTAATAAAAAAATTTTAAAAAAACTTTATCTTACTAATATTATAAATGTGAAAGTTTGTGTGTTTGTTTGTTTGTTTGTGTGTTTGAAGTTCAATCACGCATTAATTACTGGATGGATTGGGCTACAATTTGGCATGATGATAGCTCACATTCCCGATTAACATATAGGCATCTTACTAAAATATTATAAATGTGAAAGTTTGTGTGTTTGTTTGTTTGTTTGTGTGTTTGAAGTTCAATCACGCATTAATTACTGGATGGATTGGGCTCAAATTTGGCATGATGATAGCTCACATTCCCGATTAACATAGGCATATTTTTATCTCAAAAATCCTTTCGGGCTCCGCCCCAGTGGCTCTAGAGTTTCCCATGTTAACCTTATGAGTACTCATATTTAAATGGAATTAAAGCATTTAGTCAGCTGTTTCAACTAAAAAGGTTGGTTCTATGATATCATTGACTTTATGATATGCAAAGGCATTAAAAGTTATAAGATTTACCGACAGGATGCAGCACTATTATTTTTTTTTCATTTATGAAAACAGCTAATTTGAACTAAGCAGCAACAAAAAACTGTGATACATAATGAGAACTGTCTGTTTACAGTTATGTTTATGTTTTTAATTTCACGAATAATTTGTGATATTTTGTGAATCTTTAATAATTTATTTTTTTCTATTGTTTGGGTGAAGTGGTAGAACATTATGGCTATGGTAGAAGATGTGTAATACTATAGTATACCGTAAATTTAAAGAAGCAAATTGTATCATACTTTGTCCTCCCTCATTGCAAACGCTAAGCTTGAGTATAACTGTACTAATCATTTTATACTTATATGCCACTCCCGTACGAAGGACGGGTACTCTGCTAGTGTGACAATAAAGATGACTTTGACTTTGACTAATGGAAATTCGCTAAGTCTGCAGGTTTGCTGCGGCGGGGGTATTTTCTTTCACTGTGTAATGACAATGTATCATACAAAATAGGTCACTAACTTACCTGAAGTTAAATTGAGTTTATAGTGAATGTGTAAGTTAGTTTTTTTTAGAGAGTTCAAATGGGTTATTTTCTGCAATAAACAAAACATAGGCTACGTAAAGCTTTGATTAGTAGCCTAGAAAGAGGTTGAAATGCTTTAGTAATATTTTATCTGTATATACCTATTTAAACAGAGCAGAATCTGAACAGGTCGCGTTTTATAATGGTGAATGTATGGGCTGCGTCGGCTTCTGCCAGTCGGGAGTGGGGGGAGCTAGACCGAAAACAGCGACCACAGTGCCACTAGAGTGCAATTTAACTTAGTAGTTTTCTTTTACATCGTTGGTTATGTGTATTACCGATAAGTAATCTGTTTAAGAACCTAATAATGATGTAATTACATTCAGTCCCCCAGTTCGCTACTGTCAATGGTAGGGCTTAATGAAAATGGGCCAGTTTAACTATCCAGACCGAACAATGTCTGAACAAACCTGAGCCCAATAACTTAGGTAGACCAAGTTAGATAAGTAAGATTAAGGCTACACTTCCATATCTGTTGGCACAAACTACCGAATGAAAATATCAATCGATATTTCGTTTGGTTAGTTAGGTAAGGTTAACCTAACCTAACTAACCAAACAATATACCATACGGTATCGAATTAAACAAGTTTGTGCCAACAGATATGGAAGTGTAGCCTACCCAAGATTAATTATATTTCTTTTTCTCTTTTTCCTATTCTCTTGGGTACAGTTTCTTAACACGTTCACTGCGGGCGTATCCGATCGGATACGGGCCGAGCGCTGTTCAGACGCTGCCGTAACCGATCGGATACGCTCGGCAATGCCTTTCGTATATCATCGTTTTTGCTCTAGCGTCGGTCGAAGGCAGACCAATTCCACGTTAGCGTGTAGTGGGTGACTTGCTTTTTGTTGTGTTGTAGGTTGGTAGTAAAATTTCCCCATAAAGCCCCGTCTGGCAAACTTAAAAATCAACTTGTTGTCCCGTCTTTCTCCCTCCAATTGGCAATACGATGGGACCGGCTACGTTCCAAGCAGTGCTGCTATATGTGAGTGTTTAGCAAACTACGTCGACTCTTGTTATAAAACAGCACATCACCGCACGTTATTTGCTATTCGTCATACCAAAATATGAGAGCCAAACACCCGGCAATCGGGTTTGTTCGACGCTGCGGGCTGCGCCGCGCTGATGCTACGCCTGCCATTTGATGGCCCGCAGCGTACGTGTTAACTGGGCTATGCTAATATTGATTGAAACTATCGAATTGTAAATAATTGATTAATAATTGATATTTATAAATACATCTATTATAAAATAAAACTATCATAACCTAACCAACCAAACTTGCTGATGGTGAAAAAATCGCATGAAGGTTTACTAATTGAATCGATAGTTTCAATCAATATTAGCATAGCCCAGTTAAGAAACTGTACCCCAGTTTTATGTTATTGTTTGGTAGTTTTACTTTCAATTGTGTCATCAAATTGATACATAGGCCTATAGACCATTCATTGGACCAGTTTTTGTTTACAAAATAAAACTGTCAGTGATGGATTGTTAAAATATCTAAAATGTATCGTGAACCTGATTGTTATGATAAGCGAGGCCAAGACATAATTAAGTTACTGTATTTTAGTTGAAGTAGGCTAATATTAATTAAGATTATACTACTTTATCTATGGATTTAGGTTAGCCTAAGTAAGTTAGGCCTACCTTAAATTTGTCCTGCATAAAATATCAAAATAAATTAATATTATATGTTGATAAAACCCAACCTTGAACGAAAATCTCTAAGTAACCTTGAAATCTGAAGGTAGCCGCTCCTGTAAAGTTGTGAATGAGGAGAGAATTTCCAGAGAATAGAGTTGTTGTAGAGGTGGTTACAATAGTTAGTTGTGTTCTGTGTTGTGTGTGATGTGATGATGATAATGGTGCTGGCTCTGGCTGCTATGCTTTGGAGCTGGGGTTGCCCACTCGGACTCGGGGCTAAACGGCTAAACAAAACAAAACAGATCGAAGTCAATAACACTGTTCAAGGTCAATATTAATCAGCTGTTCAATTGGTATTTCAGGTCAGTTTCAGATTGTGGCCTCGGCCCTCGGCCTCGCTCGCATTGGACTATTGGAGTCTACTAAACCTTCGCTATATCATCACGATGTTGTCCCCTGGCACTGAGGAGTGGGCCAGTGGGGGAAGCACATTTTTTTATTTCCACTGCAGTTTTTTAATAGGTACGGACAAAATGACCCCGCTACGATACCCGGTTAGGTCATGACACTTTAATTTCATGATTAAAACATTATAAAATTGTATTTGAGCTATTATAGGTTTAGAATATTTTTTTTTCGATTAGTAAACCTTCATTCGATTTTTTTCATTATCCTCAAGTTTGGTTAGTTTGGTGAAATTATCGGTTATGACAGTTTAATTTTATAATTAAGAAATTAAAAAATTGAATTTGAGGCTTTTATGGTTAGGTCATGATACTTAAATTTCATGATTAAAACATTATAAATCTGTATTTGAGCTATTATAGGTTTAGAATATTTTTTTTCGATTAGTAAACCTTCATTTGATTTTTTCATTATCAGCAAGTTTGGTTAGTTTGGTGAGGTTATCGGTTATGACAGTTCAATTCTATAATTAAGAAATTAAAAAATTGAATTTGAGGCATTTCTAATTTTATTTTATGAAAAGAACTTTTTTCCGGTTTGTAAGTTTAAACCTTCATTCGATTTTTATTTTATATCTCTTTTATATAATCAGCAAGTTTGGTTGGTTAGGTTGGTTTATGACAGTTTAATTTGATTTTTCATTTCGTCCTTATTAACTCTCATTTTCGTCCTTATTGAAAAACTGCAGCATAGGTTATGTATGTAAAACAACGCAGGCTTGTTTGGACGCCGTCTAGAGGGGGGATGGAGGGAGAATCATTTCCCCTCACTCCGCAGGGGGTAGCGGATTTTGATCCCCCTGGAATTTTACCCCCTGGGCAAACGTGACGACACAAACCAGGGGGTAAAATTCCGGCTGCGAACTTTTGAGTTTCGCGACATCAGCTCGATGGATTCAAACGCAGAATTAAACACATATTTTCACGGTTGTGAATTTATCAGAACACATTAAATTATAAAAGACTAGAGTGTACGGCCCGGATTTTTATCCCCGGAATTTTACCCCCTGGCCAGATATATAAATTAGGGAGAATTATTGATTATCTTCATTCTGTTTAAATTTAATAGTAAACATTTTATTATTAAGTAGCCTATATTATTTTTTTGTAACATTAACTAATCGAACAGGTTTTTAATTTTAATTTTGAGATTCTAGTATATATTAGGATTCTATCTTTGAAGCCAACAGTTGGTTAATATGACGTATAAACAATCAACTGAATGATAATTGATTCGAACATTTCTTTACAAAATAAATAAATAAAGATAGGCTACTAAATAATGAAATGTTTACAATTAATTAAAAACAGAAATGAGAAAATCGATAATTCTATTTCTTAAATCGGCAGGGGGTAAAATTCCGGGGGTAAAAATCCGGCCCGTACATCTTCAGTTGTCTAAACGCTAGTTATATGGACAGGGGGTAAAATTCCGGTTTTTATCACTAACTAGCTGTTGTACCCGTGCTTTGCAACGGAAGAGGACACAAAATAGAAACATTTTAATCTTTATCTCTTGCATATAATAGTTACACATCCGCCAACGCTTTTAGAAACAAAATTCAACTTTTATGTTCTTAATAGAAACGTTTAAGTTATGACTTTTAAATCTGGTAAGTAGTGGATACCACCATTTTGGTTTTGATTATTTTAAATCTTGTGTAGGCTGATATGAGAAAAACTGACCAAATTTTTGAGTAAAACTTTGACATAGGTACATGATTTACTAAATTTACCTTCATCTCACTTAATTACACATCTTTTAATTTATTATTGACATTTTAAATTTCAATTTTGATGTTGCAAAAATACTAATTATTAAATTTAAATATCTTTAAATTAAACTCTTCTTTATATTTAATCACGAATCCATTCATCTTCAGTTTTTTTCACTCACAATAAATCATTAGCAAAACTAAGTCAGCTGTTGTAAACTTTAGAAATGTTGCTGTGCCTTATCAATACAGTCTTTTGAAATATTAAAGAAACTATCTAATATAATTAATCACGCTCTGGCTATTTTCATTAGACTTCCAAATCCGCGGGGGTAAAATTCCGGCCAAGAACAAACTTTTGGCCACTCAGGTTACTACGTCATAGTGACGTCAGCTTTACTCAGGGGGTAAAATTCCAGGGAGATAAAATTCCGGCGACCCCTCCACAGTGCCAGGGGACAACATCGCGATGATACAGCGAAGGTTTAGACTCCAGTCTCGCTCGCACGCAGTCGCAACCATCGATATATAACTACTATAAGTAAGTAGTTATTTAAATCGATGGTCGCAACTAGAGGTGTTCCTTAGTAGCTCCGGGAGCAGAGCCGCTCCAATAAATAGCTCCAGCTCCTGTTGCGGAGCTAGCCCCACAAACAGCTCCAGCTGTGGCTACCGCTCCGGTTACTCCGATTGCCTTGCTAAATAAATAAATGCTCTCTAGGTCTGACCCAGACGAATCACGATCATGATTTGGAGTCTTAGATTACCGAATCAGAATAATAATTCACCGAGCTGGATCAGTGTTTTGGAGAGCTAAAGCTACTCAGCCACTCAGCGTCGTGCTGTGTAAATGACGTCAGCTTCTGGCCGCCCCGGGAGCATCGTTACTTGTGAGCTGAGAAGGAGCGAGGAGCTGTTAAGAGAATCATCGGAGCTGCTCCAGCTCCGCTCGATAGTCGCAACGGCGCATACCTAGCAACTATTCATATCCAAATCCATATTGTCTCGTCAGAGAGATGATATCAGCTGAGATGCTAAACTGCAGCGCGAGCGCACTGCGCAGTTTCACGGGGCACAGTTTCTTAACTGGGCTGGCTATGCTAATATCGATTGAAACTATCGATTCGATTGTTGTCAAGAGTTTTCTGATTACCTAAAAAACATTTAACAGCTGTTTTCAAAAAAGTACAAAGTTAACAGACGACAAAATAACGCCTTGCTATTGCTACTACTATTATGATGGTATCATTGACTATTTGATACAGAAGGTACTATATTTTATTGGAGTTACTAGTGATACATCAGATAGGTTATAAAGATAAAGATATGTTTTGAAGCAAACAATTAAACCCAAATAAATAAAGCAAACCCTATAAGTTGTAGATGGAATGAGTATGTTTCGCAAAATTAGTTCTTTGGGTTTGATACACCAAGTTGGTGCGAATTGTTCTCATTCATTTTGCCAGTCTCAGTTTGTAAAATTAGTAAACGTTCCTTATTTAAGCAGGAAAATACATTTGACAGTTGAAAGGAACCATCCAGGTAAATAAATATTTTAATAGGACTATATCTTATTGTTTCTCATTATTAAAGACGTTATTGTTTCTCATTATTAATGTAGTTTTGTGGATAAATCGATATTAAGTTAACTAATAATAGGCACTGTTGGGTAAACTGAGTCTGCATAGGCTACTAGGTGACTTATGTCATTAGCCTTACTGTTAACTTCATTCTTCACTCTTCATAAATGACCAGGGGTAGACTCCCGTATCTGTTGGCACAAACAACCGAATGAAAATATAGAATATTTATATCGTTTGGTTAGTTAGGTATAAGAACTAACCAAACGATATATCGAATGACATAATCGAATAATCAATACTAGTGTACATGTTGCTCGAATTCGAGCAATTCCAAAGTATTACAGGAGTCATTTCAAAACGAATAACAGTCCCATCTTTTGAGCTGTTTTTATATGTGTTTTTTCGTAATAGAACATCCCAAACAGGTCTTTGACCTAGGGATGAATTGTTTCATAGTTATAAATAAGTGTGTGAGTTAGTTAATCTAAGTTATTCTTAAGTACTCTGTGTAAAAGCTTGTAAAAAATATGAAACAATAAAGATTTTCTGATTTCTGATTTCTGATGATATTTACAATGAGTTTAAAAGAGTCAACTCAAAGACACCGGTGTGTAACTCTCTGTATCTGCGGTGTGTTTATCTTCGTTATTGATAAACCTAAAGCATTCCGGCCGGTTTTCTCCTTCTCAAAATGCCTCGCTGTACAGGCAACACAGGTCATTGATAGAGGGCCAATTGAGAACGAAAAGTCATTTTGGGGTAGTGTTAGGGCGCATTTGTAACCTAATAGTTGAGATTGTCCAGGGTCAGATGCTGACTTTAAGCTTTAAGTCTACTATGCGCCACTGTTCTGTAGCTGCGGTCGTTATCATGATTACGCCTCCTGTCTATGTTTCGTTGTCGTCACGTCGGAGGCATTTAAAAGAAAAAAAAACAACAAATAAACAAATTATAGCTACACAAAACAACGATAAATGCAAAAACTTAAGTTACAATCATGCTAACACGATCCGTCATAGCGATACAAAACAACGATAAATACACAAATTTAAGATAAAACCATACTAACACGATCCATCTTGGGGGTTATGTTTACACAAACTCAAATAGTAAATAAATGTAAGCAATGCGTTTCATAGGATTGAAAAATAAATAACAGCAATTAAATTATACAGCTGATCAAAATGTAAACAATTATGTTCTTCATAAGGATAACATGGGAACTTTAACAGCCACTGGGGCAAAGTCCAAGGGGCTTTTTAAAAAATGTAAGGCCAGTTTGCAAATCTACGCGACACGCTCTTTCCAATGAGACGTCAACGGATAAAATCGGTTAAGAAATGGCGGAGGAGTTCAACCGACAAAGTTTCATGTAGCGTATTAATTATATAGATTTTCATTCGGTTGTTTGTACCAACAGATACAGAAGTCTACCCATGACCAGTAAGTTAATCATAGGATGGATTGCATCAAAAAGATTATAACTAATTACAGTAGACTCCCTCTTATCCGGACTACTCGGGACCGAGGCCAGTCCGGATAACGGGTTTTCCGGTTAAACCGACGTTCCCAAAAACTCGTTAAAATGGACTGTTTACTGTGATATTTGACTAAAATTTAGGAGATCATCGTATTAAGACACGTGATCACTGGTCTCAAATCTTTCCCACGAGAACAGACGTTTCAGTACTGCCAACTTCCTGCCGATCTAGTCCGGATAAACCAATGTGCTGATAAAAATTGTCCGGTTAAAGAGATGTCATTTCCGCCGAGTGTAGTGCGGATAAACCGATGTCCGGTTAAAAGGTGTCCGGATAAGAGGGAGTCTACTGTATTTTAAAAGTAATGTTTAAAACTGCACTTGTTTGAGTTATTAAGGTACGGTAAGCATATTAAGTTAGGCCTAGGCCCTAGTTGTTATCACCAACGATTCCCTTGCTTCCTTTTAGTATTTCCCTAAGTGTTGATATTAAAGTCAACTTAAAAGTACCTACAGTACTTAGGGGGTCTGATACCAAATTAATTGTTTTCGAATATCAAGTTCAAATAAATAGCCTAAGTTAATATAAGTTATCAGTTTAAGTTATTTATTTATACTATTGTTATTTATTTCTATTGTAGTTTATTATTATTGTATATATTATTGTCATTGTTGAGCGGAGCAAGCGAAGCTCTTATACGTCGACTCTTATGCATTTCGTAATATGCAAACTCCTAGATGGCTGAATCAATCGTTTTCAAATTTTGCATGGTGATAAAGACCATATCGGTGAGTGCCAACTTCTATATGGCGTTAAAAAAGTCTCTCAGGAATCCGCCCCACTGGGTCTCAAAGTTTCAATGTAATCCTGATGGAAGCAGTATTTGACACATAAACAAAGACATATGATCAGCTGTTGACTTTTGAATGCAGTAAAAGAAATAGCTGATAGCGTTATTCCACAGATATTAGAACAGAAACGGTATGGATCATAAATATAATCAAATGACGACACTAGCTTGAGGTCCGTGACGTATGAAGTCGTTAAGGAAGTAGTAAAGGTGAGCAGTCTGGAGTATGGAAACTGTTTATGACGATTAGATTAAGGTATCTGCATTCCCAAAATTCTATGGGAAGGGAGGAAAACAGGTCCGTGACGTAGGAAGTGGTGAAGGAAGTAGCAAAGGCGAGCAGTCTGGAGTGTGGAAACTGTTTATGACGATTAGATTATGGTATCTGCATTAATAAAATTCTATGGGAAGGGAGGAAAACAGGTCCGCGACGTAGGAAGTGGTGAAGGAAGTAGTCAAGGCGAGCTGTCCGGAGTGTGGGAACTGTTTATGATGATTAGATTAAGGTATCTGCAATCCTTAAATGCTACGGAAAGTGAGGGAAACAGGTCCGCGATGTAGAAAGTGGTGAAGGAAGTAGTAAAGCGAGTTGTTCGGAGTGTGGGATCTGTTTATGAAGATTAGATTTAGGTATCTACAATCTTAAAATGCTATGGGAGGAGAGGGAAACAGATCCGCGACGTAGGAAGAGGTGAAGGAAGTAGTAAAGGCTGGCAGTGCAGAGTGGGGGAACCGTTTGGGCAGTTAGATAAATGAATCTGGAATACTTAAATGCTATGAGAAAGGAAGGAAACAGGTCTATGATGTAGTAAATGGTGAAGGAAGTAGTAAGGCTAGCAGTGCAGAGTTGGGAACTGTCTTTGGCAATTAGTATCTGCAATTCTAAAATGCTATGGGAAGAGAGGGAAACAGGTCCACGACGTAGGGTGTGGTGAAGGAAGTAGTAAAGGTGAGCAGTGTTGAGTTTGGGAATGGATTAATATATCTGCAATGCTAAAATGCTACGGGAAGAGACTGTAGACTGTATGTTAAAATGATTACGAAGCACGAATCGATAGCCTACATATTTTCGATATAAAGCAATCGTTTACAATCTAATTTACAACTGAGTTGACAAAAGCTGATTTTTACTCCATAGATGCTAAACACGATTTTTACTCTCTAAGTATTAAAAATGCTACTTTAGACCCGCAACGCATACATTAAAAACTACTTTTTTTACTGCAGTATGACAAAAACAATATAATATGAACCCTTGATGATTCCGCTCAATTTTGTGGATGCGTCTGCGAACGCCACCTAGTATTTGTTACTGTTGTTATTTTTTATTGTTGTTATTGCATTTTTTGCTATTGTTTTTGTTATCCTTTTTGGTTACACAATTTTATTCAATGTTAATTATTATAGGTCGGCCGGTTAGAAAGCGTCCTCCTCGTAGCATTGGTGCGAGAGAGAGAGATACTGAGCTGTGGGAGTGAGACAGACTATGGCTCTTCCTCCACTCCGCTGCCACCCCACCCCCAACCTTCCCAAACACAGCTAATCAAATTAAATTATACAGCTGATCAAAATGTAAACAATAACGTTCTTCATAACTTGAGAAAATAGGTCCTGCAAAAAATATTGTATAGCCTAAATTGCATCAATATTTGAGCATCATGAATTATATCATAGTGTAAGCACTTCCGTTTGGTAACACAGGATTCCAACTCCCACGACACCGGGGCAGCGCCGTGTCGGTGTCGTGTCGTGCAGTGTGAAAACGGCCATTGGCGGAGAGGGGGAACATACCCTCCCTCGCCGTTACATCCCCTACATGAGCTAAAAATTTCACGCAGGTCGTTTTCTAATCGGCCGACCTATACAAAGATTTATCATTGTTAGTCTACATTCGCTCAGGTTTTCTATTAAGTAGTTATCAGAGGTCCCATTGCATGTTTGGCTTGACCCTTAGATATATTAACATTGAATATGTATTGTAAAAATAATTGTAATTTTTTTTGTTTGGACCGTTGGAAGCAAAAGAAAAAAAAATAATAAGCCATCCTCCCATATTTCCTTACTTTAATAGGCCTACTTTCAGTTGAAATGGTGACCATACGAAGGTAGGTATTTTAAGCCAAGTAGGCCTATGTATGTAGATGAGTGGCACGATCTTATAAGTTAGTCTTGTTACTGACTAACGCCAAAATGTGTTCCTTAAACAGGACTGTAATTAATAGACCATACAGCCAAAGTCAATGGCAGCCAAGAGACCTACAGTTTATAGGCTAGTCTAATCCAAACCATATTTTTATAGACCTAAGTTTAAGTAGTTTTGACAGCAGTTGGTAGCATATTCAACAGTAAAACAAAAAAAGTAGCCTTCAGGCATTCAAAGAGAATGTTAAATATACTGTAGCCTAAGTGTGTTTTCGTAGTTTTATTTCTCTCTAAGATTGTTGTATTTTTATTTAGGCCTACTTGTATTTGACAAAAGTTTGCATAAAATAGAACTTTGTATCTGATGTACGCTGGCTAAATAAAGATTTTATTTATTTATTTTATTTTCAGCTCTTCCTAAAAGGTTCTACAGGAAGACCAGTATATTACGTGGTGATGGACAATTTGAGATCACACTGGATCAAAGAAAACTCAAAACACCAAAGGGAGCTATTCTGAAAGTGGACAATGAGGCTCTTGCTTTGGCTATTGCTACAGAATGGGACTCCCAAAAAGAAGAGATTCAGCGCAGCAACATGCATCTGGTAAGTACTGAAAATAATTATTCTTGAAGCTCCTTATGCACCATAGAGGAGTTGACAACAGTATGGTAGGTTAAGCAATAAGTCTATCTAGCTACAGTAACAAAAGTTTGGTACGGTAAGCTATAACATTTTTAGAGCCGTTAAAGACATGCAGTTAAGTTAATTCCTTTTAACATGAGTTTTAAGTCTTTCCTGTTTGATAAAAAGAATGTTTAGAATCAATATTTAGCCTACAAATTTATGATTTGAGCACAACTTCTGAAAGATTTAGTTAGATCTTTGACTATTGATACAACTTCAGTAACTTATCCAATAGTCAATGGTTGAAACATGTATAACTCTGTTTTTCCTTCATCGCCAAATAATTATTGTGACTCAAAATTGGTGGCCTAGTATACTTTCTACTAATAAATGCACGCACTAGAAAACATGTAGGGGCCTAATATAATTTAATAAATAGGTAACTATAAAGTAAACCCCTTTGTATAATTTCTAATGATCAACTGAATAATGCTAACCGCTAACAATTAATGCCTGCAGTTTTTTTGGTTTCATTGTGTTTTAAAGTCTCTTTTTGGCTCTTTGCCGGTCTTTTGGATTGTTTTGTTCTTATCTCTCTTTTGTTGCCCTCAATTTCTTTAAAATTGTCGATCATATATATTTTTTTCAGTGTGTTAAATCTTGTAACTGATGGTTAATAATTAAGTTGTTGATTTTTAAAATTTTAAATCCGCTTGTAGCTTGTCATCTTGTTCATTGTAAAATGCTTGTACTGAATTATGTTATCATTTTGTTAACTGGTTCAATGCCGTGAATAAATTAATCAAATTAAATGTAAAAAGTAATCAATAAACATATGTCTTGACCATTATTTGAAATGACATATTTATTAAATCAGATGTTGTCAAGATAGACTCAGGGATATGACAGTAGAACTCCGACTATCTGAATCACTTACAGAAAGATTTTTAAAAATCCTTAAAAAAACTATAGTAATAAGAATCATTATTAATGAAGGAAGAAGCCATGATCGCGGCTTTATATCTTGAAAGTTTCCCTTGGTCGTGTAGATGTCATCATCGTTTTCTGCGGTCACAGACCAAAATCTCCTTGGTTTTCTGTGATCTCAGCAAAACCCCGAATATCTCCTGCGGTCAAGTAGACATAATTATCTCTGTGATTGCGGCAAAATCTTGAATATCTCCCGTGCTTGTGTACCTAAATACTTTTCATCGTCATATCCCAAGGTCGTACAAAATCATCATTGTCCTCAACAATCACGTCAAAAGCTTTCAATCCTGAAATACTTGCACATTTGTTCTGCAATCGCAATGGTAACAGCTCAGTTATACTCGGCCTTTTTGCTATGAAATACCCCAAATTTTGGACCAAACCCAACTATTTAAATTATTGATCATCCTAATATGGTACGGTACCAGTGGATCTGAATGGTAATTAATTTCTACTGTATTAAGATTATTACCATAGAATAACCTGCATTGAAACAAGATTACTGTTTAAAAAAACTTGTCACCAGCCTAAAATACAACGCTTACTTATGAGTTATGTACACCATAAGCTGAATGAGAAATACATTCCTTAATTGTCTAAGTAGTCAAATTGTTATAGAGCTCGCCTTCAAATCTGAACGTCGCTGGTTCACTTCCAAGCAAGATTGTTACCAGACCCAGATGCCATTTATCGTTGGGCTATTAATTATTGATGGTTTCTAACAAGAGGTTTACGTTAGATAGTATCGAGACCAGGGTTTGAACAGACCCCTTGCCACTGGCGTAGACAAACACAAAAATTAAAGTGTGACGCATAGCGGCACGCTATATTTCTTATAGTGTCAGCGCTTAGCGTGGCAGAAACACTTTCCCCCACCTATTTTTCTAATTCTCTTCCTACTTCTTCACGACTTCTCAAGGAACTGTCACTGAAAATTGGATCATCTGCAACCCTACATAAATGGCTAAGTCCCTAGGCTTATTATACAGTATACGTTAGATATTAATTAAATAGTAATGTCAGGCTAGTTAGCAAACTAAAGTGTGAGACCTAAAAGGGTCACCCCGACATTGGTAATGTAGGAATTAATTAATTAATTGCCGGTGACCATTTTCAACATGAAAAGGGTAACACGTTTCCCCCAGTAGGCTTCCACAGTTTATCCCAGTACATTCATAGTTATTTCTGATTTAAGTAGTACATTCACAACCAAATCATCTCATATATTGTCATTTTCTAGCTCACAAGTTTTGGAAGGATAGTTTAAGTAGCCTAAATTAGTTGTATTAGGAAGGATAAATCAACGCTGGCAATGCAAGCTTCCGGTCTGGGTAAAAGATCTCTGTCCTCTGGTCCCCAACACGTCTTTCATGGAAATCATTTGGTTGCAGATTCAGCATGCTTAAACTAGGCTCACTTTTCCACACTACATCCACACACATACACCCACATCCCAACATAACACTACAAATGACACAATTTAGTTGTTAAAATTAGTGCTTGTAGTTTACGATTATTGTTTACATAATTTTTTGTAGGACCTTATCTGTGTTTCAGACAGCCTTGTGCAGCACTGTAATCGACAACCCAAACAACCTCACAAAGTTTGACATAGTCCAAGGCATTTTATCCTACCTGGAGACAGATACCATACTCTTTCACTCCAAGGTAGGCACAGCACTTGACTTCATTTTTCAGATTTAAAACTAAATGATATCGCCAATAATTTGGATTACTCAATTGCAGCCAACATCACTCGAAGGAAAGTTTTCCAGAGTGAATAGAAATGTTCTTTTCTCTATAGATCTGGAAAAAACATGGATCCAGAAAATTTTTGAAGACAAAATTGAAAATTAAATAATTTGGTTACATATTCAATTCATTTTCTAAAAGCTTATTTGTTCCGGCAATTTTTAAAGCTTTTGAACTCATAAAAAAAAATTGTAAACAAGATAAAGATGAAAAGTAGCAAATTTTATAATATATAGTTAACAGTTCACTTAGGTCAAATTTTTAAAGAAATAATGCAAATGTAACTATAACTTTTATTAAAATGCTTAGTTTAAAAATCCAACTTCTTGTTCCTTTAAAAATACATTAACCGATAAAGACCATTGTTTAACACAGTTCTACAGCCGATCTTTCTATCAGAACTCATTATTTAGGTTTATCTATTTATTATCTTGGTTTGTATATATTGCATTTCAGTGCACCCTTTAATATTATATCTCTCAAAATCTTAACATCCTACTACGGGGATTGTCTAATTAGGATCTTCAACAATTTACTGTTGAGACCAAGCAAGCTAGCTCAAATCTAACACAGTTGCCGTGTTCTTCACTTCGTGCACTACTATTCTAGCCGGCCTGACGATTAGGCCTATTCTCCTCATAGTGGCCAAAAACGATGCTTCCGCCAAGTATGAATCATGATTGATTGTTGTGATTAGGTTTCTGTGAGAAGGAGATTAACCCCTATTGGCCAATTAAAGGAAGTGTATGCAGCAAAGTGTTCAAGACGTTATGTGCATTGGTTGCTTTGGTATAGTCCGTCCGTTTGGCTATGATACCCAGCGGATTAGGAACCTTCTCAGAACTTGACTCACCCTTCAGACTCGCTCGCCAAGCTGGCCATTGATAAAAAGTTTACCGGTACTTACGTATTATACGGAGGCCACTTATTTTACAGCGCGCTGCGGCGGTTAGGTTAGGTTGGGTTATCATAAGTTTTTATGACTCATCTCGTATAGTTCGATTCATAACGAAACTAGGAAAGTTCTACAAACATATTTATGATAACCCAACTTAACCCAACCGCCGCAGCGCGCTGTAAAATAAGTGGCCTCCGTATAATACGTAAGTACCAGTTTACCTACCTACTGTCACAATCCCACAGATCTGTAACTTTTTTTAAGTAAAAAAAAAAAAAAAATTGTTCTATGTATATTTGAGTTCTACATGAAATTCCAAAAATAATGAGTCCAAACATGATGTGGATACCAAATATCTACGATCTGAAAGTCGGACTAAGCTGATGACGATACAGAGTAATTGTACTACGTTCATATCATAGATATTAAGTATCCACATCGTGTTTGGGCTCCCTATTTTTGAATTTCATGTATAACTCAAATTAATAAAGAAAAATTTAATTGAACTAAAACAAAAAAGTGACAGATCTGCGGGACTGTGAGACAGTGGGTGAGTCACTGTTTGTCTCTGGCCAGCCCGACGAGCGGGTCCAGAGGGTGAGTTGAGTTCTGAGAAGGTCCCTAATCCACTGGGTATCATAGCCAAACGAATGGACTATATTTTGCAGAATAATGTACACATTTATTTGCACAACATCAGCATGTGCATCAGTTTCTATCCCGACAGTGTTAGACTACAAGGCAAGAAAACTTAGCTTACTGGTCGATGTGACTACGAGATTTCCCCTATGTCCTTGATAGTCGCAAGATGTTTGATATCATTTCAACCATCCGTTGTTAAGTCACACCGCGATCCGCATGCAAGATCACCTCAACTCCTTTTGGTCACTGCATCAAAAAAAGACCGGTGAACGACCGCCGTTTGGTCAACTTCGTGGGGATTTTTATGACATCCGAACTCATTTAGCCCCTTACGTACATTTTCTATGCCTAAGAACTCCACTTTTGGTATAAACTGACAATGAACGTCAATAGCAGTTGATGCCGTAGACCCAGAGAAACCTAATCACAGAAGGTGGTCATACTTGTCGGAAACGGAGATTTTCCTTTATAAGGTTTTGAACACACTAATTGTTTCATAGAAGTGGAAACAGACTAGAATAGTGATGGAGGAAGTAAAGTACGCACCACTCTTAGATGCTTGCTTGGTGTAAGGGGTTAGATACCTTCAACGGAGACCCTTAATAGTATGTAATATTACAGGATTCTAGATTTTTATTAGTACTATGGTATACGATAGCTGCATTTGACATGGTTATTATATTACTCAAGCTATAATATCCCCAAAACAAAAAAATAATGGGTGTTGTATTTAATTTAACTGGGAAGATTTGGAACTCCAAGTATTAGTGAGGTATAATGTGTCACAGTTTAAGCCGTTTTAAAACCATCCACCAATATCAATAGATCCATCTAGTAATAAAAGATGAGAGGAAATAGATTTTACTTGAGTAGACTCAATATGTTACAGGAGGATGAGAATTTGTATTCAATCCAGCAGAATGAGTGGCAGCCCCACATAGACTGGTTCTGTCAAAGGTTTGGAGTGACGATAGCTGCGACACACAACATCGGACCTCCGCAAGTCTCTGATGACATCAAGGCTCAGATACAGAGGCACCTCATGTCTTACAACTTTGCTGCCATACATGGTAACTCATATCACAAGGAAGAAATATAATATCTGAGTCATGGGTAATAAAGGAAAAGTCATAATTGCTTTATTATGGCTAGAACTAGAATCTTGATCCTAATAGTATATTTCATCACGGATCAAAAGTGGATCTTTTTAATACGAGCTCCAGTTTAACTGCCGAGGCTGGGAATTGAGCGAGTATTAAAAAGACACTTTTGACCCGAGTGACGAACTTTATTTTTTGTCATACTGCCAACAATTTTAGGTTTAAATAAAAACAAAAGTAAAATTGATGTACTGTGTCTTCATAACCTCAAAATTTTCTTTCGTGTAAATATGATAACCCTAAATTTACCTTGAATTCCTTTTATTTATAACCTTTATTTATACGTAACTAAATCAAAACCCTACTGTTCTCTTAAATAATTTTATTAAAATACTAAACGCACTTAACAATAGAAACGTACACCAGTAGGCCCTACTATAAAATATTTTCCTGGGCTTTTTCTTTTATATTTCGATACGAATCGTTAGGCCTACTAACTTTGTCCATCGTGTCACTCACCAGTGGTGTACGGGAAACAACGCAAAAATAATAACAATACAACAATGAATGTTTGGATAATAACAATGAATGTTTTGATTATTTACAACCGAATGCATTTTAATCGCTATATGACAATCTCGAATCAAAAGATCATCAACAATGATCTTTTAGTATTAGTATGATAATAATCATCAAATTACGAATAATTATTAATTAATAATTTTAAAAAAAATTAATAATTATCCAAAGACGAAAAAGAAGAACTTTTGAATCTAAAAAAAAAAATATTTTTTAACACAGTTTTATAAAATAAATACAGGAGGCTATTTTAGCCAAAATAAACAGTACTGGAATGGTAATGGCTGATTCAGTTTCATTTTTCATTACTGTTTATTTTGGCTGTAAAAACAAAGAAATAAATTTAATCAGTATTTTAACCTTCAAATAGCATTAAAACTTGTTTAAACTACTTTAGTTTCATAAATTTAACGAGTCCCTCACATCTAAGCAATGCTCAGTATTGTTATAATAATAGCCATTAACAATAGTAAAGTAAATCCGCCCAAGTATGAATCACATTCAGTGATGAGACTTTTTCAGTTTAAGTGGTTAACCCCCAATGAGATGTATGTCCAATTAACAGAACAGCTAACAGTTAACTACATACACTTTTCTCTTGTATGGAGAAAAGTGTAACATAAGATTAGATTAGACTTTTATGATGGGAACACACCAATGTGCCTGTCACATAAATACATTTTTCAAAATGTGCGCAAGTGCTGGTGTAGGGACTTACTAGGGAGTTCTCAGAAGATACACATTGGTACGACAAGGGTGGCTGCAGGCATTTAAATCTGTTCCTTTAGAGACAGAATTGTTTTCAAATTATATTAGTTTATAATGCGCCATCCTAATTTGTGTAGGTTTCCTGTTTGCCATAGAAGCACTCAAGTCCGCCATCTTGACACATGCTTGTGTTGAACGAAGGATCTCTGTAGAGAAGGCTGTGTTACTGACCAGGCTGGAGGAGGAGTTTCAGGTATGATTGCGAAATATTTATTGGATCTCCCTAGTCTCAATCCCGGGGATTTAGTCCAATCCCAGGATTTTGGGATTTGTCTTAGCCGATCCCGGGATCATATTTTATTATTTTAGCTTTTTAGCCATTTTAAATGACCGTGGATTAACCTTGTTGAGTCCTCTAGCTTTACCAATGTCATACTGCACAATTTTTCCGTCTTTCTAAAGGAGAGAAAAATAACCACATAGGATTTCATCACCCGTCTTTCTATTTTACAGTGCATAAAATGTTGATAGGGTAGTCATTCTAGGATTTATGAAATACGTAAAAGAAAGCACAAGCCAACGCACTTGCGTGCAAACGTTCTGCTTCGCTCAACACTAAACTCGATAAGTTGCACAGCTTAATACTTAGACTAATATATTAGTGAGAGGTAAATCACTACACTCTATAGAAGAAAAAGTTTCCAATCTATGATTAAGGTTGTTTTTGTTGTTTTTGAACTTTTAAAATATAAACAAAGGGATTAAAAGGTTTAAACAACTCACTATAATTAACAATTCATATTTAATGGGCAAAAACAACTCATTCAAATTGTAAAAAATTAACTATACAGCTTGGTATTTATGATCATTTTCTGAAAAAAAAACAATAAAAAATATATTGGGTATAAAAAAATTACATAATTGTGATAAAATAAATGTTGAAAATTGCACATACAGTGTGTAGCAATTTTAACCATAGCCCTCCGTGTGTTGCAGTGCGGTCACTGGGGCCGTGTGGAGTGGGCTCATGATCTCAGTCAGTTGGATCTACAATCCCGTGTAGCGGCAGCTGTTCTGTTTATTCACCTCAACTCTATGTCGGAACACATTACTGCCAAACGAAAAGCAACTCAGTAAACAGTTGATTCAGCATCTATAACCAAACATAAGGCATTAAATTATTGATCAATTAATAGTTACTTTTTCCATAGACAAAACGAATTAAGTATAGACTGTCAGCCATGCTGCGGTTACCATAGGTTCTAGTGCACACCGCTGGAAGTGTCGTTTAGTTACGTAGCGCGTACGCCGTAACTACATGGGGCTCCCAGCGATGTATGGCAGAACCTATGGTAACCGCAGCACAGCTGACTGTCTATATTTAATTCTTTTTCTCTCTGCTTTTACTTAATACCCTTGACCTTCAAGTTAAAATAGTATGAATATAAAAAAAGTGACAGTAAATAAGATGTCACAACGGTGATTGAATTGAAGCAGTCAGTTTGGCCATCAGGCTCAATTAACCAAAAGGTAAAATAGTATAAAAGATGTCTAGACACAAACGACAATTTTGCTTTTTTTAACAAACAAAAAAATTTCATGAAACTTTATTATAAAAGCATCAAATAACAAAAAATAGTGACAGTACTTTGGCTAAATATTGGTTCAAAAATTAGCTGCACAGATCCCAATGGTATTACCAGTATGTATTACAGTATATACCATGGTCCAACCGGTTATACAAATTCTTATGGATGTATTGGAATTCCCAGTCCAAAATGGGGCTGCTCTCTTGGGCAATCTAAGAAACTTACATAATATCATTTCTTTCTTCTCCCTTCTGATGAAGTCCCAAACTGGGACGAAATATTAAGTTTTTCTGTGTTGTGTCATGTGTTTTGTGTGTAATCAAGGCTAATCTGGACTCTGTCTACCAGGTAAGCTAGCTGATCCCTATCCTTGTACATAATAATCATAATATAATATCTGTACTCCCATAGAAGAATGAAAATTCTGTAGCAAATGATGTAGTCTTCATTCTTTTTGTAGACCAACATGTTGAATCAAGGTATTTTCACACATCATTTTCGGCATGTCACAGTTCAGTCACATCACAGTCAAGAAATTTATTATTTTTATTTTCTTTTTTATATCCACACTTATCCGATGCAGGTCCGTTGGTCACTCTGCCGGCGTCCATACAATACCCACACATATTTCTATCAGATATGGGTAGATACCCACCCATATTTTGGGGTTGTTTGGGCGCCTGACGGTCATATAATGTACCACCTATCTATGACATTAAATTTTGTTTATTTTGTGTTTATATTTTAAGTATTGTTTAAAACAATCATCAAGATGGAAGATGAAAAATTGATAGAACACTGTGTTTCAATGGAAAAAAATGCTTGACTGTAAATAATAGGTCACTGTAAATAAAGTGTTGGACGACTGACTGAAACCAACTTACAATTGACTGAGTAATTGCAAATAAAACTGAGACAGAACTCTGACTGGACTGAATGATGTGTGTATAAATGGATCTTTTAAGTTGAAAATTAATCAAATATAAAGAAAGTTAAATATAATCAACAAGTCATAATCATAAACTAGCTAATGGTTGGGTTCATTTATGAGCCATAGGTCTGAAGCAGAAAAAAACACCTCGGCTCATTTAGTTCTAGTCTATTTGTAACGGTTTTATTACAGTCGATTAGTAAACAGATGTACAGTAGAGTCCTCATATCTGACCTCGGCATAACCAACTCCTCGGGATATCCAACCTACTGTCCAACCATGTAATTGTTTTCTGTCTGAGGCGAAAACGCAGAGCGTGTTACTAAATAATTGGTGTAAATACCTGCATTATGTTATCAACTTGTTGCTAAATTGCAACCGGTTTCGACTCACAAAGGAGTCATCGTCGGGCCAGTACAACAGATGTCTTCTTGCTTCATTCGAAGGTCGTCAATTCAAAATAAATAAATATATTTAACACACACACGTACATGAACATAAAAACAAACATTTAGGGTTAAAAACGAAGGGTAATACTATAACGGTAATGGGACACAACGTGATCGGGCGGGGATTATTTATAGACTGCCGGTCAGGATCAGCGTGGTCAGTGATGACGTTGTGCCTGGATTTCCCGATCAGCTGATAACATCATCCACAACTGTCCCTTGTGCTAGTATCTTGATTGCAGTATCGTAAATGTAATTTGATTGAAATGAATTCTTGTCGATGATGTTTTGGCTGTCCAATTTAACGCTGGTCCTAACCGGCAGTCTAGACATAACCCCCGCCCGATCACGTCTTGTCCCGTTACCGTTATAGTATTACCCTTCGTTTTTATGTTTATGTACGTGTGCGTGTTAAATGTATTTATTTATTATGAATTGACGACCTTCGAATAAAGCAAGAAGACATCTGTTGTACTGGCCCGACAATTACTCCTTTGTGAGTCGAAACCAGTTGCAATTTAGCAACACGCTGATCACATAAATGCAGGTATTTACACCAATTATTTAGTATTTAGATGTGATCAGGAGGCTAAAATTCAATATAATGAAGGGCATGGGGGAGGTGTTAGGTTGACTAAAAAAAAGGCCTATCGCGGATATTGCCATAATCGCGGCAAACAATCACCACTGTCGCAGAGACCGTTAGATGTGCCAACGGGTGTTGCCACGTGCCTGGGATATCATTACCGATTTTGCCAAGTGACTGCAAGACATGTCCACAGGTGTTGCCGGTCGGGGGTGGCAATTAACGGTGTCGCAGAGACCATAAGATATGCACACGGGTGTGTCCGTAATCGCAGGAGGCGAATATTCTGAAATTAGACCATTATCTATACTTATTTAATACACAAGCAGGTTTTTTGTGACAATTACTCCTCCGAATCTACTGAACCGATTTACATGTTCTTGGTGCCATTGGAAAGAGCGTAACGTGAAGTTGTGCAGGAAACTTTCTTTTTAGGGAAATAATTAGAGGGTGAGGCCCTGGGCCCTATAAAGTTTCGTATTTCTCCATAAGATTAACATGGGCAACAAAATTGTTATGAAACTCCAGCTGTTGTCAGAAATTAAAAGTGAGAAGAAGGACATATGTTAATTGTAAACAGTCAATAAGTTTGCTAATTTACAGTTAGTTTGCTACAAACTGGATAAATTGATATATTAAAAAGAAAACTGAATTAACACTGTGCTGCATTTCTTAGTAATCATTGAAAGAGACGATTTTCAAACTATGGAAACATAGGAAAATCATAGAACATCACCAAGGGGAAGAAATAGAAATATGTTATGTGTTTTTTTTTTTTTTTTTTTTATAATTGTTATTATGGACGACCTAATGCGACTATGAGTAAGGCTATTTGTAGAAAACACTAAAAAACAAAATCAGCTTTTGAAAAATTATAAGATATTTACAAGAAAGGTTGATTATATCGATCTGTTATGTACATCTTGAGTATTCCATAATCTTTGAGTCGTATCTTTTAAAGTTATCAACAATTATGACTGTTATTAGTTTTAAAATAACGCCTGTAATACTTAGCAATTGCTCGATTTCGAGCAACAGGGACACTAGTTTAAGAAAAACGACAAAAACAACCTAGACAATTACCGTCCTATCGCATTACTTCCATGTTTTTCAAAAATATTTGTAAAAGCTATTGATATTCAATTAAGATCTTATTTAGAAAGTAACAACATCATAAACAATACTCAATTTGGTTTTCGAAAAGGGCACAGTTGTCAAACATCAATGGCAAGAATGGTTAACTGCATCACACAGGCTCTGGATGGATCTCAGAGAGCAGCTGGTGTTCTCTGTGATCTGTCCCAGGCGTTTGATTGGGTTCATCACCACAAAAAAAATTGGTATTAAAGGCAAAGAAATTCATTTATTTCATCTTATCTTTCCAATCAGTTTCAGAGAACTAAATTAACAAAAAATAATGAAAATGAATTTTTGTTATTTCTTATTCTTAGTTTTAGTATTATCCTGCATATGACACTATGTCCTGTCAAATGATGTAATGACATGTAATAAATAAATAAATACCGGTGTTGCCACAAGTTGTGCTCCTCTTGATATCCGATTCGACCATTGTCCTGTTCCGTCATGGTCAGATATGAAGAGTTCTACTGTATTGGATAAACCAATCGTACTGACTTTAATAATTCAATTTACATACCTGGACATCTTCTATTTCAAGAATGAGTATTCTGCACCTTGATTATAAAAGCGTGATAGTCTTTTTTATTCCTACAGAGATTTTGAAGGCTCAACATTCTTGGGTTGATCTTTTTTAGTTCCAACAATCTTGCCTGAAAACAAAAATCTTAATCATTCTCAAGCATTGGGCATTTATTTTATACTGATATTCAACACCTAGACTTGTACTTGAACAAATTATTATGAATGCAGCTTTTAAGTTATCCAACAGCTAGTTGTGCTTATTGGCATACTTGGGAATAACGAATAGCAATATTCGTTAGTTTTTTGGCTAACTTATATTTTATTCGTTAGTTTTTAAACTAACTAACTTATAACTTATATCAGTTACTTTTTACGGGACTAACTAATAACTTCTAACTAGTTAGAATTTTTAACTAGCTTTCTCAATTATGCGGAAGCATCTCAAATACGGGTTATTTATTTCTAGTGACCAGTGAGGGTTGCATGCGGCCGTGAGAGGTTAGCGCCCTTGAAGACAAACAACGTGGGGGGGTGGGGAAAGAGAAAGTCAAAGTCCAGTTGCTTTGGAATGCAGTGCCTGTGGAAGGGCAGTGACGGCCATTATCAACACCCCAAGCACTGAGGGGTGGGGAGGGGGAATTTTTGTTTGGTGATTGATATATCATCTCAAGTGTCAAAACATTGTTTTCAGTTAATGTTCATTATCTGACAAGTTTTAAGTCATTTGTTTCTGTTGTAGTAATGTAAAATGTGACATTGTTTGATCAAAACACAAGTACCAGGGGACCGAGATGTTTGAGGTGTTTAATTAAGAGGTAAAAAATAGAGCTTATAAGCCTAAAATATTTTCAGTCTTACTAAGATTAATTAAGTTGTAAAGTCAATTCGTTTTTGTTAGACATCCACTCATCCTTAATTTACCTTACAAACTTTTTCATGTGGACGAGCAATCTATAAAATGTCTACAATAAGCTTC